AACATCCCAAGCCACCTGTTGTAGATAGTCATGTAGAGCTGGCACATTCAGCCGTTTAAAATTCCAACGCAAATTATTGTTGGGATACCTTAGCTTAGTTTTGATGACAAAACTGAAGGCTATGACGGCATGATCGCTCTTTCCCAGAGGAGCCAGGATTGAGAGGTTGTCGACTAGGAATTCTTCGTTAGTGAATACACAGTCTAAGCGCGATGGTGTCTGACTGTTTCTCCAACGAGTTGCCGACCTCACATTTTCATATAAGCCCAAGTCATCGATGAGGTTGTAGAACCGAGCTTCAATTGAGTTGTCGCCTCCAGTGTACGTGTGTTCCGCGAAGTTGACTCTAGGGAGATTAAAGTCCCCTAGAATCAGGATGTGTGTGAAACCGAGACGGATAGAGCGGGATAGTCCTTCCAGCATACGACTATCGTACTCGATGTCGGCAGTTGGCTTCCTGTAAATGACTCCGACTAGACACCTCGAAGTACTAGACAATCTTACAGAGCACCATATGGATTCCTCAAGATTGTTAAACTCGAGGTTGTGAACTTGGTGCACCTCCAAGCAAGAGCTTATGTATATGGCTACTCCGCCCCCAATTCCTGTTTTTCTGTCGTTGCGGAACAAAGTCATCCCAGGTAATGCTAACTCTTGGTCCGAGAACTGAGAAGATATCCAGGTTTCAGATATTCCTATCAGATGGGCCTTATTAGCGTTGCTAAGTTCACGTAGTTCATCCAGTTTGTTTGGTAGACTCGCGGCGTTCATATATAAGCAGTTTATGCTTTCAATTTGGAACGCGTGAGCTTCGTCCTGTTTTTCTGTATGAACCTTATGTGAATGGACAGGTAGCCCACCTATATGAGGTTTGCCGAGGTGGTAGGCCCTGTCCTTTACACGTTTTTTTATCGTTTAGACAGTCCACAAGTGGAATGGTCAGCTCCAACTTGCCTTTGTTCTTGGTCCTAGCTTCGTATGGCCTATCCGGGTGCATGTGGATTCCAGGTGGCAATCGACGTCTATTAGCACGAAATGCTTCCAGAACTGCAGCCGCCATGTGGGAAGATGGGAAGGTTATCTTCATTAGACGGGGTCTGGGGTCACCGTCCTTCTTGGCTAGTCTCGTCACATGCTGAGTCAGTATGTGTTTGAGCCTCAAGGACTGTTTGATGAATTTCCATTCCCTGATGTCAGAATTTGATTGAGTAGGGTCTGCATTTTCCGGTATACCTTGACAATTATGTTTCTTCCGCGGAAAAACTTCTCGCGAGATTCTTTAGGGATGTTTCGTATGATATTGCGCTCAGAGTACGGTATGTCGGGCAATATTCTTACGTTACCATCTGATTTCAGCAAGTGACTTGCTAGCAAGACGTCCTCTACGTCGGTAGCATTCTTAAATGTTACTCGGAGAAGCCTCGGGTGATTTAGATGCTTAGAATCCTTTCCTCGAGTGAGCCGGGTGACCGTCAAAGGCTCTATTCTAGGAAGTTCAAGCTTCTTGTTCAATTCACCCCAGAGCATCCTGTCGTTTTTGTCCTGCAGACTGAGAGGAAGGTCAGGATTGTCAACGAGGTTCATGATAATGAGAGAATCGTCACGAACTGTTGTTAATTTACCAGGTTTCACGATGGGTTCAGGTTTAATAACTTGTTGTTTGGAGGTCAGTGTGCGTTTTTGAATCTTGGGCTCTTTATTGACCGGACGGACAGTCTTGGGGGTAGACTGTGCGACCAAATCACCAGTTATTTTCCGTGCAGCAACACTTGGGTTGCTCGGCTTAGGCGGTGATGCCTGGTTCTTTTGGGCTCTCTTAACGTGGGTCGAATCACCTACAGGGTTTTTGGGAACCACTGTTGTGTCCAGGGACCCTGAGCTGGGAGACCCGAGTTTGCTTAGGGAGTCTAGTACTGTCGACGTAATGATGGTGCTGAGCCTCAACACGTCGTCATTAGTGTTGATGGATGCTCCATCGTTGGTATGCCTGTCGACATAAGAAGAACACAGCAAAAGTTTGATAAATGCAAATCACGTTAGGACTAAACTTCCCGTTCGAAAATCGCGCGTCAAAATTTTCTTGTACCAATATTTATGTGTTTAAATAAATAGATGATTACCACGCAGCTGCTTTCAAATTATAGGTGTCAATGCTGAGATTTGGCTCGATAGTTTCAAATAAATTGGGGATTGTGTGGAAAGTTAATCATAAATACGTTTTTGTTATATACCAATCAGCATAAAAACTGTATTCCTGAAGTTTTGTGACTAAAGGTAGACCGTTTATTCAAATTAAATAAATAACCGAACTGAACAGTGCTCTCAACCTTCTTTAAAACCAGAAAAAATTAGACATAAAAGTATTAGATGGTCAAATATGAGCAAAATATATGTTCTAACCACTCCGGACTTCATAGATTCGCAACCTCACCAACCGATTTGCTACATCCGATCATTATGATGATCCTCGCTTCAACACTTTTTACTCTGCTTCAAAATATACAGTGTTCTGAAGACACTTTTGGTCTAAACGCGATGGACAATACACGACTTCTACATTTATGGACGGTGTTTTGTGACTAAGAAACTGTTCACAGGAAACAGCAGTGCACTTTACTCCCTCTTTAGGTAGTGGTTAAAATTCCCGCTTATTTCACAGCTGATGCAGGTAAGTGCAACCAATCAAGAGTGTTGAGTAGATAAACATTTAATCGAGTGTGCGTTCTAAACAGCCCTGAAAAAATTCGGACGTAAGCATGCGTCACTAGCCTTTTATAATGGTTGAACTTTAGCCATGTCTACATGACAGTCAAGACTGGCGTCCTGAGTTACTAACAAAAATCAAACATGCACCATCTAGGCTCTAGAAAATCAGTAATCGAAGAATGCTGAGATGGTTAATCTAGTTTCTAGGGTGCAAGAGTTGATGACAGAGTATTCCTGAAAGAGGGATTCACGGTCACTATCAGTGTTTAAATGCAGAAAATGATGCCATACAGATAGGCTGGGTAAAGTTTCAGCCCAATGTCATCACTAAATCAATATTAATTTGTCCCCATTTTCCTTGGATAGTGTCACTATACAACTTAACGTTCATCAGTCGGTCTCCTACAGTAAGGTTAATATAAGCTTTCAAGACAATTTTTCAGGGGCCTAGTGATATTTCACAAACCTTGCAGTATCTCATATACACACTCCGCAAAGTCGAACCGCTTAAGTGGTGGTGCCGCAACTCCTCATGTAACACATCTAGGGTTACTCCCGGTCCCAAGCTTGAGTAAAGAGAGAGGGTTGAGGATGGGGTCATCAACACCATCCCGTAGAAAGCAACCCTGCAAAGAAGCCATAACTAGGATAAACAATTCAAACATTCAAACTCTAACTTGAGAGTTGAAGGATCTTCATTCAGAAGAATTATGATGCCTCATGATGAAAGCCGAGATTCTACAGAAATCATTAGGCGATGCCTCTTTCAGGAACCACAGCAACAAGTAATATAAGTATATGAAGTGTTCAGACAATGTGGAAGACCTGGAGGACCAGTCGAATAGCTACGGAATGAGGAGTTACAACTTGGTGGTTCTCGAAATAAGTGGGACCCATTGAACTGAAGCTGGACAGAGAAGGGTAGATTCACGAGAGATGCTGCTGTACATCTGTTATATCCGAGTGGAGATTAAATTACAGGTAACTTCCGAGGACTATTCATGGACTAATATTCTATAAATATTCTTATTGTATAACTACTCAACAATTACACTATGTATATTTATATCCCTCTTATGACAAGCTTTATTTTGGCCTATAATTTATTATTGTACGATTTACGGTTCTTAAGTTATGTTCAGTTTATTAACTACTGCCTCCCACATTCACAGCCACTTTTTGGGCTTATTTGTGTACAAATATTATTTCCTATTTTATGGTACGTTGCGGTCTGTGTGATTGATATATAAACCAAGTATGCCTGAAATAAACGATCTGCTCTGATTCGGAAGCTGGTATCTTGTTCTGGACTCAAGTGGAAGGGCTCGTAGGACATAGGACCAATAAGGACACTAAACTGCCCACACCGGTTGAACGTCATTGGTTGGCCTAGTGTGAAGATTCGTATAAGTCGTATTCGGATTGGTAGATAAGTCGTGTGATAGAAAAATCAGACACCCAAGGTCATAACAATTGGCGACGGGGATTTTGGCAAAAACAAAATAATTGGGAGACGCAAGGTCATAACAATTGGCGACGGGGATTTTGGCAACAAAGAAATAATAATAATACAAGTGGTGACTCAGATTTTGGAAATAAATTAGCTGTATAATTGCCGGTGATTTTTGGAGCTAATATTATTGGCAAAAAAAAATGTCGATTTCTTTCGAACAGTTGCGGTTAATATTACAGCACCAGCAGAAGATGTTTGCCTTGCAACAACAGCTATTTGTAACAGTTTTGGGCAGACTTTGCATTCAAGCAGAAAATAAGAAATCTATATATCATGCAGATAATGGTGCAGTAATGGACATTTCAGAAGCATATCCTGTGCAGGATTCAAATCCTTCTATACCAGAAGGAAAACGTAATATTGGTAACGTGTCCAGCTCAGAGCAAGAAAATATTGTGCTAAATGCACATGAAGTTGTGACAATACCAGATGATCAGGAGCCAGATCCTGTAGATGATGCCCAGAGTCCAGAATCAAATGAAACACTACTGGTACTGTCTAGCTGCGAAAATAAACGTCAGCTCGAACAAAATTGTGGTCCACGTGCTACTAGTCGAGAAAGCTATGGTGACTCGTATTCAGAAAATAACTGGAGCAACACGATGAACCAAATTGTACCAGATGTTACTCAAAATCACCGGAAGACAGAATTTTATATTGAGTCAACTTATCCCATTTCTAATGACAGTGTGCCAGATATTGATTCTCAGAATAATGCATATGATTTTGATGAAACTTCTTATAACAATGAGGGAAATATGTCAGCTGAGTCGAATGATGGCCAAAAATCTAATTTAATTCTGTTAGACGTTGACTTTCTTAATGACTCGTTATCTGCTAACGAGATTCATAATGAATTTGAAAATAATGAACTCAGATCAAAGGTCGTTCATCATCATCTAGTCATTTTTAGTGGCTTCTCCAGTCAATACGAGAAACATGGTTTAAATAAAGTCCTACTAGTTGTATTTTGGAGCCATAAGGACCCAACATTATTTCGAGGAGGAGGAGAATGTTGAGGAATTTAAAGTCACATATGATTCTTTTTTTTAATCAGAATCTAAAGTTGGAATTTTCAAAAAAAAAGGGGAGGTGTTATATCCGAGTGGAGATTAAATTACAGGTAACTTCCGAGGACTATTCATGGACTAATATTCTATAAATATTCTTATTGTATAACTACTCAACAATTACACTTTGTATATTTATATTCCTTTTATGATAAGCTTTATTTTGACCTATAATTTATTATTGTACGATTTACGGTTCTTAAGTTATGTTCAGTTTATTAACTACTGCCTCCCACATTCACAGCCACTTTTTGGGCTTATTTGTGTACAAATATTATTTCCTATTTTATGGTACGTTGCGGTCTGTGTGATTGATATATAAACCGGGTATGTCTGAACTAAACGATCTGCTCTGATTCGGAAGCTGGTATCTTGTTCTGGACTCAAGTGGAAGGGCTCGTAGGACATAGGACCAATAAGGACGCTAAACTGCCCACACCGGTTAGACGTCATTGGTTGGCCTAGTGTGAAGATTCGTATAAGTCGTATTCGGATTGGTAGATAAGACGTGTGATAGAAAAATCAGACACCCAAGGTCATAACAATTGGCGACGGGGATTTTGGCAAAAACAAAATAATTGGGAGACGCAAGGTCATAACAATTGGCGACGGGGATTTTGGCAACAAAGAAATAATAATAATACAAGTGGTGACTCAGATTTTGGAAATAAATTAGCTGTATAATTGCCGGTGATTTTTGGAGCTAATATTATTGGCAAAAAAAAATGTCGATTTCTTTCGAACAGTTGCGGTTAATATTACAGCACCAGCAGAAGATGTTTGCCTTGCAACAACAGCTATTTGTAACAGTTTTGGGCAGACTTTGCATTCAAGCAGAAAATAAGAAATCTATATATCATGCAGATAATGGTGCAGTAATGGACATTTCAGAAGCATATCCTGTGCAGGATTCAAATCCTTCTATACCAGAAGGAAAACGTAATATTGGTAACGTGTCCAGCTCAGAGCAAGAAAATATTGTGCTAAATGCACATGAAGTTGTGACAATACCAGATGATCAGGAGCCAGATCCTGTAGATGATGCCCAGAGTCCAGAATCAAATGAAACACTACTGGTACTGTCTAGCTGCGAAAATAAACGTCAGCTCGAACAAAATTGTGGTCCACGTGCTACTAGTCGAGAAAGCTATGGTGACTCGTATTCAGAAAATAACTGGAGCAACACGATGAACCAAATTGTACCAGATGTTACTCAAAATCACCGGAAGACAGAATTTTATATTGAGTCAACTTATCCCATTTCTAATGACAGTGTGCCAGATATTGATTCTCAGAATAATGCATATGATTTTGATGAAACTTCTTATAACAATGAGGGAAATATGTCAGCTGAGTCGAATGATGGCCAAAAATCTAATTTAATTCTGTTAGACGTTGACTTTCTTAATGACTCGTTATCTGCTAACGAGATTCATAATGAATTTGAAAATAATGAACTCAGATCAAAGGTCGTTCATCATCATCTAGTCATTTTTAGTGGCTTCTCCAGTCAATACGAGAAACATGGTTTAAATAAAGTCCTACTAGTTGTATTTTGGAGCCATAAGGACCCAACATTATTTCGAGGAGGAGGAGAATGTTGAGGAATTTAAAGTCACATATGATTCTTTTTTTTAATCAGAATCTAAAGTTGGAATTTTCAAAAAAAAGGGGAGGTGTTATATCCGAGTGGAGATTAAATTACAGGTAACTTCCGAGGACTATTCATGGACTAATATTCTATAAATATTCTTATTGTATAACTACTCAACAATTACACTTTGTATATTTATATTCCTTTTATGATAAGCTTTATTTTGACCTATAATTTATTATTGTACGATTTACGGTTCTTAAGTTATGTTCAGTTTATTAACTACTGCCTCCCACATTCACAGCCACTTTTTGGGCTTATTTGTGTACAAATATTATTTCCTATTTTATGGTACGTTGCGGTCTGTGTGATTGATATATAAACCGGGTATGTCTGAACTAAACGATCTGCTCTGATTCGGAAGCTGGTATCTTGTTCTGGACTCAAGTGGAAGGGCTCGTAGGACATAGGACCAATAAGGACGCTAAACTGCCCACACCGGTTAGACGTCATTGGTTGGCCTAGTGTGAAGATTCGTATAAGTCGTATTCGGATTGGTAGATAAGACGTGTGATAGAAAAATCAGACACCCAAGGTCATAACAATTGGCGACGGGGATTTTGGCAAAAACAAAATAATTGGGAGACGCAAGGTCATAACAATTGGCGACGGGGATTTTGGCAACAAAGAAATAATAATAATACAAGTGGTGACTCAGATTTTGGAAATAAATTAGCTGTATAATTGCCGGTGATTTTTGGAGCTAATATTATTGGCAAAAAAAAATGTCGATTTCTTTCGAACAGTTGCGGTTAATATTACAGCACCAGCAGAAGATGTTTGCCTTGCAACAACAGCTATTTGTAACAGTTTTGGGCAGACTTTGCATTCAAGCAGAAAATAAGAAATCTATATATCATGCAGATAATGGTGCAGTAATGGACATTTCAGAAGCATATCCTGTGCAGGATTCAAATCCTTCTATACCAGAAGGAAAACGTAATATTGGTAACGTGTCCAGCTCAGAGCAAGAAAATATTGTGCTAAATGCACATGAAGTTGTGACAATACCAGATGATCAGGAGCCAGATCCTGTAGATGATGCCCAGAGTCCAGAATCAAATGAAACACTACTGGTACTGTCTAGCTGCGAAAATAAACGTCAGCTCGAACAAAATTGTGGTCCACGTGCTACTAGTCGAGAAAGCTATGGTGACTCGTATTCAGAAAATAACTGGAGCAACACGATGAACCAAATTGTACCAGATGTTACTCAAAATCACCGGAAGACAGAATTTTATATTGAGTCAACTTATCCCATTTCTAATGACAGTGTGCCAGATATTGATTCTCAGAATAATGCATATGATTTTGATGAAACTTCTTATAACAATGAGGGAAATATGTCAGCTGAGTCGAATGATGGCCAAAAATCTAATTTAATTCTGTTAGACGTTGACTTTCTTAATGACTCGTTATCTGCTAACGAGATTCATAATGAATTTGAAAATAATGAACTCAGATCAAAGGTCGTTCATCATCATCTAGTCATTTTTAGTGGCTTCTCCAGTCAATACGAGAAACATGGTTTAAATAAAGTCCTACTAGTTGTATTTTGGAGACATAAGGACCCAACATTATTTCGAGGAGGAGGAGAATGTTGAGGAATTTAAAGTCACATATGATTCTTTTTTTTAATCAGAATCTAAAGTTGGAATTTTCAAAAAAAAGGGGAGGTGTTATATCCGAGTGGAGATTAAATTACAGGTAACTTCCGAGGACTATTCATGGACTAATATTCTATAAATATTCTTATTGTATAACTACTCAACAATTACACTTTGTATATTTATATTCCTTTTATGATAAGCTTTATTTTGACCTATAATTTATTATTGTACGATTTACGGTTCTTAAGTTATGTTCAGTTTATTAACTACTGCCTCCCACATTCACAGCCACTTTTTGGGCTTATTTGTGTACAAATATTATTTCCTATTTTATGGTACGTTGCGGTCTGTGTGATTGATATATAAACCGGGTATGTCTGAACTAAACGATCTGCTCTGATTCGGAAGCTGGTATCTTGTTCTGGACTCAAGTGGAAGGGCTCGTAGGACATAGGACCAATAAGGACGCTAAACTGCCCACACCGGTTAGACGTCATTGGTTGGCCTAGTGTGAAGATTCGTATAAGTCGTATTCGGATTGGTAGATAAGACGTGTGACAGAAAAATCAGACACCCAAGGTCATAACAATTGGCGACGGGGATTTTGGCAAAAACAAAATAATTGGGAGACGCAAGGTCATAACAATTGGCGACGGGGATTTTGGCAACAAAGAAATAATAATAATACAAGTGGTGACTCAGATTTTGGAAATAAATTAGCTGTATAATTGCCGGTGATTTTTGGAGCTAATATTATTGGCAAAAAAAAATGTCGATTTCTTTCGAACAGTTGCGGTTAATATTACAGCACCAGCAGAAGATGTTTGCCTTGCAACAAGAGCTATTTATAACAGTTTTGGGCAGACTTTGCATTCAAGCAGAAAATAAGAAATCTATATATCATGCAGATAATGGTGCAGTAATGGACATTTCAGAAGCATATCCTGTGCAGGATTCAAATCCTTCTATACCAGAAGGAAAACGTAATATTGGTAACGTGTCCAGCTCAGAGCAAGAAAATATTGTGCTAAATGCACATGAAGTTGTGACAATACCAGATGATCAGGAGCCAGATCCTGTAGATGATGCCCAGAGTCCGGAATCAAATGAAACACTACTGGTACTGTCTAGCTGCGAAAATAAACGTCAGCTCGAACAAAATTGTGGTCCACGTGCTACTAGTCGAGAAAGCTATGGTGACTCGTATTCAGAAAATAACTGGAGCAACACGATGAACCAAATTGTACCAGATGTTACTCAAAATCACCGGAAGACAGAATTTTATATTGAGTCAACTTATCCCATTTCTAATGACAGTGTGCCAGATATTGATTCTCAGAATAATGCATATGATTTTGATGAAACTTCTTATAACAATGAGGGAACTATGTCAGCTGAGTCGAATGATGGCCAAAAATCTAATTTAATTCTGTTAGACGTTGACTTTCTTAATGACTCGTTATCTGCTAACGAGATTCATAAAGAATTTGAAAATAATGAACTCAGATCAAAGGTCGGTCATCATCATCTAGTCATTTTTAGTGGCTTCTCCAGTCAATACGAGAAACATGGTTTAAATAAAGTCCTACTAGTTGTATTTTGGAGACATAAGGACCCAACATTATTTCGAGGAGGAGGAGAATGTTGAGGAATTTAAAGTCACATATGATTCTTTTTTTTAATCAGAATCTAAAGTTGGAATTTTCAAAAAAAAAGGGGAGGTGTTATATCCGAGTGGAGATTAAATTACAGGTAACTTCCGAGGACTATTCATGGACTAATATTCTATAAATATTCTTATTGTATAACTACTCAACAATTACACTTTGTATATTTATATTCCTTTTATGATAAGCTTTATTTTGACCTATAATTTATTATTGTACGATTTACGGTTCTTAAGTTATGTTCAGTTTATTAACTACTGCCTCCCACATTCACAGCCACTTTTTGGGCTTATTTGTGTACAAATATTATTTCCTATTTTATGGTACGTTGCGGTCTGTGTGATTGATATATAAACCGGGTATGTCTGAACTAAACGATCTGCTCTGATTCGGAAGCTGGTATCTTGTTCTGGACTCAAGTGGAAGGGCTCGTAGGACATAGGACCAATAAGGACGCTAAACTGCCCACACCGGTTAGACGTCATTGGTTGGCCTAGTGTGAAGATTCGTATAAGTCGTATTCGGATTGGTAGATAAGACGTGTGACAGAAAAATCAGACACCCAAGGTCATAACAACATCACGAATGAGGAAATGCTCTGCACACTCAAAGAGTTGTTCTGATTCTGTCCAAAGAGGCACGTAAAGCACTTACAGGATAAGAATCTCATGGATCTACAATCATCAAAGCATCCTTCAAAACAAAGGAGGAAATTACTACTAATGTTATCCAGTGTTATGCACCCACCAATGGTAGCAGTGAAGACGATAAAGATCAGTTCTACTCGAGGCTGCAATCGATCATGGCGAAGTGCTCAGGAAAAGACCTGATCATCCTGATGAGAGACCTGAACGCCATTTTCGGAACGGACAACACCGGATATGGAGATACCATTGGACGAGATAGACTGGGAGAGATAAACGAAAGTGGGGAGTGATTTTTGAATTTATGTGCATCCAACAAATTTTTTATAGGCGGCAAAATATTTCCACACAAATGCATACACTAAGGTACATGGGTCTTACCGGATCGCACCACGAAGAATCAGATAGATCACATTTGCATCCGTAAAAATCTCACAAGGTCAATAGAAGATGTGAAAATCAGGAGAGGAGCTGACCACCACCTGGTTGGGTTCAAGACGGAACTGAAGCTAATGGAACACTGGATAACTGTGGAAACGGCATTACAAAGGCTCAATACAGTCTTCCTTTGAGACACTGACAAACTCAATTAATTCAAGATAACTCTCAACAAGAGGTTCCAAGCCTTACAAGATCCACTGAAAGAAGAAGGGACTGCTATGAAGGACAACTGGGAAGGGATCAAAGAAGCATTAACTTCAACGTGCCAGGAGGTGCTGTGTCGAAAGGAGCATCATCACAAGGAATGAATCTCCCTCGAAACCCTGGGCAAGATTCATGAAAAGAGGAACAAGAAAACAGCAACTAACAACAACCAAACAAGAACAGAGAAAGTCAAGGCACAAGCTGAATACACAGAAGCAAGCAAGTGAAGAAGAGCATTGGAGCTGACAAGCAGAGATTCGTGGAAGACCTGGCAACCACCATGGAAGAAGCGGAAAAACCCTGGGGTAACTATATTACACGATGGAGAAACTGGTATGGAAATATAGTAAACCAGAGAGACCGCTCAAGGACAAACAAAGCCAGTCACTGAGATTCAAGAACAGAGGAATACATGGGTAGAACACTTGAGGAACTCTTGAAGCACTGAAGTCAGACATTGAAATAACCGCAAACATGCTCCGCGTTCTATTCAGGAAGATTTGGAAGAACAAGTACCGACAGACCACGAAGAAGGACACCTCCTCATAATACCAAAGAAAGATCTGAACAGATGTGAGAACGACACAGGCACCACAATGCTGTCAGTACCAGGAAAGGTTTTCAACAGTGCTGCTGGGCCGGATGAAAGATTGAGTAGATATACAATTTTGAACTCAACAGATTGGATTTCGTAAGGATCTATCGTGAACGGATCAAATTGCGACACTACGCATCACTATTGAACAATCAGTTGAATGGAGCTCGTCACTATACATCAACGTTCTTGATAATGAGATAACGTTTGACAGTGTGGAAAGGAGAACATTATGGAAACTTTTTCAACACTATGGAGTGCCTGAGAAAATCGTCAACATCATACGGAATTCATACGACGGATTACACTGCAAAGTCGTGCATGAAAGGCATCTGACAGGCGCATTCTAATTAGGGATCGTAGTTAGACATGGCCGCCTACTCTCCTCCCTTTTTTTTCTTTCGGTGTTTGACTGGATTGTGAAGACCTCCACATCTCAAGGGAATAATGGAATGAAATGGACAGATTGGATTCTACGAGATGATATGGACTTCGCACATATCCTGACCCTTCTCTTCCATACACACAAACAAATGCAGATCAAGACAACCGGTGTTGTAGCAACCTCTTCATCAGTAGACCTCAACATACATAAAGGAAAAAGCGGGATCCTCATATGCAACACGGAGAACACCAACCCAATCACACTTGATGGAGAAACTCTGGAATTGTTGTAATCTTTCACGTCTTCGTATTTTCTCACAAAATAAGTATGGTGAACCAGGATCTTACAACGGGTTACATGGTCTGATCGGTATTTGTGGCTCAAAAATAGTCAGTCACCTATTGTTTAGTTTGTTGTTTAGAGATGTACAGCTTATCTCAAGTAAAATGCACCAAGTTAGACAGAATTTGAATAATTACACTAGTTTGAATGTATGCTACCATGTCAACGAAAAATGGCAGCGTTTTTATACATGCTGAAAATGTGATGAACGTGGATTCAATGTCACTAGGTTAATGGTCGAATTCGTAAACACGGATATATGAAGTTTGTGATGTTTATTAATCAACCATTATGCCTTAGTTTAACTTAAGTTAATAGTTACTTGTATCACAAGCTTAATTTCCCCGAATTTTAGTGCTTGTCATTACTACCCTAGGACGACGCATGTGAGCATCAAGCAATAAGCTTATAAAACGATGAGCAAAATAAAGCAGAAGCCAGTGTGGAAAGCCATAGTATGTGAGAAAAGCAGTGAATAAAGTTGTTTAGTTGTCGTTCGAAACCACGAATCCATATTTTAGCTTACTGGGGTTAAGTGCAAATGACGTGATTGCTCAACCATCACTGACCTTGGTGAATTTTAGTCGACCAAAGGACATTAAGTGGTCAGCCGCCCAAGATATAGATGAATTCGCTTAGTGAGGAGCACGAAGCCTGCATTGAAAGCGAGGTACTTTATTGATCTACAGTTACATTTTGATAGTGAATTTCTTAACTGCCAAGCATAATGTTGTGCTCGTTATGACACGATGTCCGATAGTTTACACTGATACACACTACTTCTAAACGTCAACCCGACAACTCAAGAGGAGAGATGGAGAATACTAAAAAAAGTATTGTATTGTATATGTGCTGAAACACACATATATCCACACTAAGACGTTAGATTGGTGGATATATTAAATCCCATTTCTTCCAAATGAGTCATTTATAGGACAATAGCATGCAGTTATCACTCAACGATTGAATGGCCAAAGCTGATCTGAGGTACAACAACACGATAAGTAAAAACGATAAAGCCAGTGGATGTAGTAGTTCTTCTTCTTGTTCGCTAACCTCATGTTTTAACCTAGACAGAACCGGGTCTAGGAAATGGTGTATTACTCTTGTGATTTTCAATCCTCGTCTAACCATATGTCTCTGAAAATCTGTGTGTGAAGAATGGGAGGTGACTCTCACTAAAAAAAAATATTGGTTATTTTTCGCATAAACACTGATGGTTAGATAGAATAGCAAGAAGATTGGACGCTTATTGTTGGATGAAAACTCAGATGATAGTAAAAATGAATCCTAGAGATAGATCACAAATAAATAATTAGGAAAACTTACTTGCCCAAGGTTACTAACTGAAAGGAATCAGGAGTAGTAAACATAAAACCTACGGATTACTGTGAACTTTTTCAGAGTGTCCTCGTAAATTCTCTGTTTTGGAAGACAAGAAAAATGAGGGCGTATCAGGTCCAGATTTGGCACTAAGCAATTTGAAAACTGCAATCAAGTCGCCTCTAGTTCTGCGATATGACAACGGGAAAAAGTTCAGCTTGGCCAGTCGAGCTTCACCCGGAATAGCGAAGCTTCCGTACGAAGAATTTACGACGACACTACAAAAAAGTTCACAAGCCAGGAACCAAGAACAAATTACTTGTCAGCTGACTATCGACTTTCCCATCGAATCATCAACGAGTGGAACTCTTTACCTCAGCACGTGGTTGAGGCTCCATCCGTCGATTCTTTTAAAAGAAAGTTATATCAACTGAGGGACCACCATAGCCAGGACTAACACAGGCCATCAGGCCTCCTGTCATTCCCGAACTGAAACTGAGAACTGCGACTGAAACTGAAGCCTGGTTTTAATATCTTTTATTAGAGTCATTCAAAAGCGAGTGATTGGCCCGAAAATCAGATTGCTAAAAGTTTTTCTTCCTCAACATGACGAAGGAAATAACCACCAGATATACTTTCAGTTGGTTCATAGGTTATTTCAATACAGCACCGACATAAAGATATCGGATATTGAGGAAACTAAATTGTCATTATGTTATTTGTTAGTGTAAATCCCCTGTTGAAATCACGTAGTTGCTATAACGAGTTCTTATGAGCAAGAATTATGACGTGGTTAACCAGTAGCGAGTAACATATCATTCAAAAACTCATGTTTGTTTGAATAGTTATGTATATGAGGTGGTACATTTGATAGGCAACCGTGGTTGCTTAAACATGGTAGGTTGGGTCGTACCGTCCATGACCCTTTTATGGGACATCAATTGATTCCTAATTTTTCTTTGTGCAGAGTGAAAACACCTTAATCCGAACGAGGAAGTTTATGTCTAATCGCTTGCTATGTCGCAAGCAGATGGTCGTTGACATTTTACACCCTGGACGTTGCGTCCTTTCAAGAAATGAAATTAGAGAAAAGCTTGCTAAGACCTATAAAACTTCCCCGGATGTCGTTTTCGCGTATGGTTTCCGGACTCAGTTTGGAGGTGGCAAGTCAACAGGCTTTGCTCTTGTTTACGATTCTCTGGATCATGCTAAGAAGTTCGAAATGAAATATCGTCTTGCCAGGGTAAGGCAATGTATTATCAAGCGAAATTTTGTAGAATAAACTGGTGACAATTCCACCAAAAGGAAGAAAGTTAAAGAAGGAAAGAAAGAATAAGGCCAAGAAGATTCGAGGAACTAAAGCAAAGAAAACGAAGAAGGAGTCCTAATTCTGTACAGTCCTGAGAATAAATGTATGGTTTAACTTTGCTCGGAATTTTTTTGTCAATACAGTCAATATAAGCTATTAATCCTGAAGTAGATGGCATTTATAAGTTTTTATAAGGCACCTTGTGCGTATGACGATAGGTAGGTAGACTAATTACGCTGCGTTACCATTTCAGAAGAGCTTATTAAAAATTTTCTGACTTACTTTGATAGGTATAGCTCGCTAATTCACTTTTCATCGTCTTTTTTTGGCACAACGTATAAACGTTTGTCTGTTGTATGTATGCTAGCACCAACAGATTTAGGGGATGCAGGTAATCGAAGAAAAGAAAGCAATCGTTGATATATTCGACAATATAACTGCATGGTACTTATGAGTGTTTCATATAGCTAAATTATTACCGGGATTGAAATAAATTCTGTGTGTACTGAAGGATGCGCTGCCACATCGCTGTGACTTATAAGGAATGGGATGTATTTCCGACATTTGTTGTGTACTAATGTATTTGACTGTGGATAGTTGATTATATCCTGTCACTGCCTCTTTTCGGTCCGTAATGAAAATGTTTGGGTATCGATGTAATTTAGAAGCTTCATTCTGGTTTTCTCAAACTAAGTCTAGTGAGATGGTGGGGAATTGTAGATCGGATTATCTTGATGAAGTTTTGTTCTCTGAGCTGGATAGTATGGTCGTGGAGTTTTCACCGTTTTTCTGAACGACATCATAAGCACGCCTACCTGAAGTTTGTGCTGATGAATCTAGTGAACTTGGAACTCTACACGATGCAGGCCTGAATGGCTTCATACATTAGGCCTACGTAACCTAATAATTATGGGCCTAACAATACGGAAGTTGATAGCGAATTCATGGAAAAAATTTGTTCGCTCCAGTTTTCTGGTTTTAAATATTATCTAGTGTTTACAAAACCGCATACTTATTTGCTATGTACTTTAGTCACCTCGCGGTTTTCGTCGATTTACTTCTGTCAGCTTCGTCTATCGCGGTCGTATAGCACTGGTTGACCATGTGATCCCATCATCGCTAATATTATTCGTTGACGTCAACTTATCTTAAAGCAATGAAACTTGGCAAGTAATTTGAGTATTGTTTAACCAGTAGTTCTATAACTCAATAAGAATTAGTTCTCATGTTACAACCGGATAAATGATCATAGTACGCTATTAAATCTTATCGTGTCCATGTGTATCAACAGTATATGCGGGTAGTTGTAATTGCTGAGTGCTAATGGATATTTCCTCGCCACGGTTTCCTTCACACCCCACCAATGCTAGCGTTTCGAACTTGTGCTATTTTTAACTACCGGAAACCACGCTCCAAACTACTTACTGAAGCATCCAGTGTTCATAAGTAAGAAATAGCATTTATACTGCACATAGACTACGTTAATTAATGTTTGTTTTGGTGTTTTCTCAACCAATAATTTGTATTAAGAATGATCTTTAGGTCTCCGACCCATCAAAGTCTATAATGACGCAAGTTGGCTCGACTAGCTTTTGCCAACTTGCATCATTTATGGCGTAGGCGAGATATCCGTCTATCAACCAAAGGACGTGTTTACTGCGCAGCAGTTCGTTCCGTACTACTTTATGGCAGTGAAACATGGCTGGTAAGAGTAGAGGATATTCGTAGGTTACTAGTATTTGATCATAGGTTTCTTCGAAATATTGCTCGTATATCGTGGGACCATCGAGTAAGTAATGCAGTTGTTAGTAAACGGGTACTAGGTAAGGATGGCAAATCAATTGATGAAGTAGTGAAACTTCATCAGTTGAGATGGCTGGGACACGTGTTACGTATGCCAACGACCGACTGCCTCGACGCGCGATGTTCAGTGGTGTAGGAGTATGTTGGAAGAAAGGTAGGGGCGGTCAGACCAAAACATGGCACAAGTCCATGAAGTCAATGACAAGTGGACTGAGCCATTTTGGTAGGTGTAGACTGCCTGGTTGGGAACCGCGAGATGATAGCAACCGATGGTTAGAGACCGTGAGAGACATTGCTCGAAATCGTTTGCAATGGCGCAGGTGCAACCACTCTTTGTGTTCTCCCGAATTTGATCTCCTGAATCCTCCGTGTCTCTTTTTCGCTTTCCGAATTCATTTCACTGGATTATACTCTTTAAATAATATCTTCGGACCCTAATCTTCCCGAAAACTGCTTATACTTTTACTACCTCTATTACTATGTGATTTAAATCGACTATTGTATCTTTGTGCTAATGTGGTATGGCAACTCGATTTGATGTACATACGTACGAAGTTCTACGTTGTTATTGACTGACTGAAAGTCTAATTAATAGACTGGATATTTATATACACTTTTAGTTATCTGCCAGTTATTTACATATGAGGTAAATAGTGTTGTTTAAAAATAGAAAACAAATCGTACAACCAAACCATAGAGATGAATCAATCCAAAAAGGAATTTTTAAGTACTGTTTTAACAAACTAATTCCAATCAGTCCAGCATTTTTTCAAGCCAAAGATTCATGTAATGTTTTGTGAATCTGTTTGCAGTATTTTCCCCCTCAATATTTGAGAAAAAAAAACAACACCAGTTAGGTGTTAATGCAATGGATTTTGCTATGCGGTGAGATTGGAGCACATAATGCTGCTGATATACATCTAAGTCTTTCTTGTGTAGCTTTTCTTGAATTTTCTGCTTCTAGAAGAATTGTACGCATTTCTGATTCCACCTGTTTAAAAGTAGGATGAAAGTAAAGAATTTTCTTGTCAACATGATAAAACTACTGTTTAATTAGCTCTAGATGTTCGAAGAAAATTAAAATTACGAAATATAGAGTTCGCCCTAAAAGTGTGTTGGTTCAGATTGTTCTATTACACTTTTAGAGACTAAAATAAGGAATTATAATGTCCGAGGAATTAAATATCGTATTCTGGAGTTCAATATTAAGATCCTTGATAATCTAACTAAAAATAAAATCATCTGTTCATTTCAAAAATAAATGTGATAAATATTATCTTCTGGAGCCAAGCTTCGATTAACCTTCTTATATGTTCCATAAAAGATGTACTCCGTTTGAAACATCTCTGAAGCTACACATATCAACCATAGCCAGAGTTTTCCTTCATCTTTTATGCAAGAGTTCATTCCTACATGGTTCTATAAGGGTAAGAGACTATTATTTAATCTAATCAACCTATGTCTAGAAATACGTAAGATTTACGAAGATGTAAGTTTTAAGTATTCATAGTTGGAAAATTGACTTTTGTCTTTAAAGATAATGTTTCTAGTTATTATTTTCACTCTGATTATAATTTAGAACCCACGACTGGTTTTGTACGTCCAAACCTTTTTTCTGTAAAGTTATTCGGTCAGTCAGTTTACTTGATCTTGATACTGGTTCCTTCCTCCAATCTGTCCTATTGTTTTGAGTGATACTTATATCCAAATAATGTTATTTAAAAAATTCAACATTACTCTTGAATTCATAAGAAGTGGTCAGTTTTCATACACAGTGGAAAACTAGTTATGGTACTGTTTAATTCTTAGGATTAAAGTACTCCGTTAAGGTGCTACTTCACCTAATTTGGTGCAAGCAACCATCCTCATATGCAATCTTTTATATATTACTGCCTTTGAAGTAACTACTATGAATTTGGTGTTCATCTTGTTATGCTAATGACGCATACATGTGCCTGGTCCTACGTTGCAACTGACTGAATGTCATCAGCATTCACTTCTTAAGTGTAGCTTAAAGTCGAGTACACAGACTTGTACTTAGTAAGTTGTTTCTATCTGCTGTTTAATCTGAATAGACGTTAACTTCAAGTGTTCCCAAATCAGAAAACGTAGTCGAGTTGATGATATAATTTAAATATTTATATTTTAAACTACGAAGAAATCCTCGAGAAATCGTTAAAACAATCTGACCTTTTCCCATATTCTAAGCCGAAGTTTCCCCTTAGGAACAAGTGAACTTACTTCAGCTACACGTGTTTCACAAGCTATACGTAATTGTTCTGCTTCATTCTTCACACGATTCATTGCCAAATCGTTCATTTCTTCAGTAGATGATAGCTGTTGACGAAATCTCTCGTCCATAGCTTGCATTTGTGAATGTAATGTACTTGTAAAAAAGAACATAAATTAAGTGACATGTGTGCATCGATGCAAATAGTTTGTTTAAAATAATAGGCAAACTAACATATTTATCAAATAAGTAAGCGTCCGCTGTGTATTTTCCTGGCGAAGAAATGAAGATGAAAAAGAAAAGAATTTAGGTTAAATTTCATTATGCCAAGACACTTTCGTAATGCTCTTCTGTGAGAATGTTCTTAACACTGCCAAGAGGGTCATAGTGAAAATTTCACAGCCGATTCCCATCTAATTCCTGGTTTAAATAACGCATCAATGTGTCTGATGGTTGGTTTACATTTCTAACGTCCATCGGTTCTGATGTACATGTAGGTTCGCTTTGGGGACGCAGTTCATTTTACATGATAAAATACGTAATTCTAACTAAGACATATACAAGAATCCAGTCAAAATATATGAAATAAACTCACCTGATTTCTTTTCGTGCTGTATCTCGTTCGTCAATAAGAACTTTTTGTTCTTCATCCCAGTTATGACGCATTTGTTCTACTTGTTTTTCTAATTTATCGATTAAACTTGCACGATCGCGCCAACGCTGTGACATAGATCTATGATTTAAAAAATCCGAAAGGAAATACTGTATTTTCAAGGAATTTAGAAAGATGTAAACGTCGAAAAGAACTTATCATTGGACAACATTAGCTAGAAACAACTAATAACTTAGAATGGTTGATTAGGGATAGCTATGGTTTGTTTATCGTCCTATAAATTATTAAGTCAAAAGGTTAGACGGGTTTTTATGGTGAACATCACTAAACAGATGTAAGTTCATCACTTATTTCCGGTTGGTATATAATTCCCCTTTTTGAACATTAAAAACACGTAGTTCAGCGATGGGATCTCTTTTCAACGAATTTGTTATCATTATTTATTTATTTCAACACATAGATATTGGTACAAAGAGGCAACAAATACATATGCGCCACACAAATCTCATTCGATATGTGTGAGGACTGTGGTACTGCCCGGGTGCCCAAACCGAAGCAGGAATTTGTTATCAAGTAGTACATATATAGTTAAAATTTTTGTTCGAGCTGATATCCTTGATGCAATAGTAAACTCCTTATATTGTTCTATTATTGTTGTGGTACTCATTTAACGTTTGTAAGTCTGTCTACTCAGCTTTAAGCCACATTGTTTGTTGAATGAGAGTTAGTGATACTATTTCCTATAATGAAGTCGTTAGACTAGCCTTTAAACTTGTGGTCTGTTGATTAACGGTTAGATGGTTGAACAACCAAGTCACTGATCATTCTTACAACATTTTAGTTTCACATGAATTATTCAAATGTTTCATAAGGTTTGTTGTCTATTTTGATGACATGTATACATCAAAGGAGAATAGATATCATTTTCTCTACGTTGGTTAATATGTCAATTAAAAAAGTGTTGTCGTAATGCAGACTAATTCTAGTTACATATTGTTGTAGATTTCAGTACAGACATCATCAGATTCATCTCAACTCTAAGCTTTCATCGTACTTCAGTGATAATCTGTGTAAAAAAGAAATTAGCCTTATTTAGAAAATCATTCTAAATAGAACAATATACATGGATAGCATTTTCTACAAAATTAGCTGAATTATAAAACTAGGAAATTTCATGTTGGACTAAATAAAATATTAGTGATCTTTAAACACTACTACTGTTACAATTTGTAATTAGTGAATACAAAGCAAAAAATACTGAGAACTACTTCTAATACAGTACTGGTTTAAATGAGGCTAGACAGATTGTTGACTAATACACAATAATAAATCAACCGTATAGAATGGACACGAGTTAGGAGGAAGAAGTTGAAAGATAACGAAGGAGCTTTTATGCTTTATTGTTTCATTCCAACTCATAAACATTAGTTTAAGGAGGCGCCAAACAGATATGCGCCACATAAATCATTCGATATGTATGAGAGCTGGGATACTGCTTGGGTGCCCAGACCGGAGCTTTAAGTAAAGACTAAAATAATTAGATATTTCAGTATATTTTCATATAATATAAAACAACATAATCAATAAGAATATACATCCATCACTTGGTACTGATATGTCACAAGTGATAACTGTTGCTGTAACATATTCATTAACAACAAACAAACCATCCGTGATAAAATTATTTCAAGTTATGCGAAAATATATTGGACAGGAGAAATTCCACATAAAACCGTTTTGTACTTCATTCAGTTTTTGTGGATGTGCGACGATCAGAACCAGTGAACAGTAATGTGAGAGATAAACAATGAAATCATAAAGATAAAGATGAAAACTCACCATTCAATTGAGTTTACATATTAAACAAGTAGAGATATAAAAGAAAATTAATCCATTTCATTCTCAAGTAAAGAAGAGCTTAAACATTGTACATGGCCTAATAGCAAAGTGTGGGCTGTAAAACACCGGTTGAGAAAAGTTTGTATAAAAAAATATATATAACTCGGATTCTATGAGATAAAACAGCTTTTTCAATTGTCAGTATATGAGAATTATTTTTTATTCTGGGAGTCATCAGTACAGTGAGTTTGTTATGTTTCAGAAGAATCAAACGCTGATGACCTCAAATCAAATATCCTTTACCACCAACTAATAATTTCTATTGGATTCTCTATTCAATACGAGAAATATATTCTAAATAGAGTCATATTAATTGTAACTTGGTGATATAAGGATCCAACATTATTTCGTGGGGGGGGTAGGACAATGTGAAAGAATTTAAAGTTACAGATATTTTTTAAAAATCAGGATCTAAACTTCGAATCTTCAGAAAAGGGAGGTGTTATATCATAGTGAAGATTAAATTACAGGTAACTTTCGAGACTTATTAATGGATTAGTATTCTATATTTATTCTTATTGTATAGCTATTCAGTAACTAGATTATGTATATCTATATTCTCCTTATTATAAGCTTCATTTTGACCTGTAGATTATTATTATACGATTTACTGTTCCTAAATTATGTTCGGTTTATAAACTACCGTCTCCCACGTTCACAGCCACTTTTTGGCCTGAACTTGTACAAATGATATTTCTTATTTTAAGGTGTGATGCTGTCTGTTTGCCTGGTATATAAGTCAAGTATGTTTGAAATAAATGGTTCACATAGTGGAAGCTGGTATTAACGTCCTGAACTCAACTGAACAAGCTAGGCAAACAAACGATCAATAAGGGGATGCTAGGCTGTTCATACCGATCAAACGTCGTTGGTTTCGCACAATAGCGAATAAATCACATAATAATTAGTCAGGCTTAAAGTTATAACAGAATCCTCACAAATCATCTTGTACAGAATAAAAGATGGATCCTTTTAAATACTGTAACAATAAATAAACATCAAAACAAGTTATCTACAATAAAAAGCAAACACACTAGAAGATGAAAATGGTAATTTCAACCACTACTTCTATCTGAAGTTTGTGTTGATGATGTCGTTCAGAAGAACGATGAAAGCTCCACGACCAAACCATCCAGCTCAGAGAACAAAACTTCATCAAAGTATTTTCAACTATTACATAATATTATCTATTCACTACTTCTCATTACTAATTGTTTTCTATATAATATTAAACATCATCATATAACTTTATAAAAGAAATTACTCATTTTGCTCTTGTAATTCATCTATTTTTGATTGTAAATCCGCGACCAATAATTTTAAATCTTCTTTACGTTTATTAAGACGTTTTATTTCATCCTAATATAAAAGTTAAATGAAGAAATTTAGATAGAATAAGTGCAGTAATAAAATCTTTATTTTACAAAATTCTACAGTAGATTAATCCTACACATAAAAATGATAAGTATAGGTCAGTCAGTAACATTGACTACCACGACGTGCAATGCTAACCGGTGTTGGAGATGGTTGGAAGAAAGTTAGGGGTGGCCATACCAAAATGTGGCATCAGTGCTTGAAGTCACTAACTTCTAGTCTGAGCCATGTTGGTAGATGCAGACTACTTGGTTGGGTCCGCGTGACTATCGTAACAAATGGTTGGAGACCCTGGGTGACATGGCTCAGAATCGATCACAATGGTGTCGGTGTATAAACTCTCTGTCTTCCCTTAAACTAAGAGATTAAACTCGCTTCATATCTTTCTACGAACTAATTCTTTTTTCCTGTACTATATCCTTATATCCAATCTTTCTTTTATATATTACCACCTCTGAATTAACTACTTTTATGAATTCGGTGTTCATCTTGTTGTTGTGTTAATGAGGTATGGCAACTTGGACCGATGCATATATGTGCCTGCTCCTACGTTGTAGCTGACTGACTGAGTCCGTAACAACGTAGAATTTCGTACGTATGTACATCAATTCAAGTTCCCATACCACATTAGCACAGAAATGTAGTTATCGATTCAAATCCCGTAGTCGTAGAGGTAGTAAGAGTATAGGCAGTAATCGGAAAGACTAGGGTTGGAACATGTTATTCAAGGAGTATAATCCAGTGAAATAAATTTGGAAATAAAAAAAAGAAACAAGGAGAACTGAGATTAGAATTTGGGAGAACACCTGCGTCATTGCAAACGATTTTGAGCCATGTCATTCAAGGCCTTGGGTTCGAATCCCGCGAGGTGGTATCGTGGATGTCCACTGCCAAGGAGGAGTCCCACAATAGTATGAAATGGCCGTACAGTGCTTTTAGGTTTTCAATGATGGTTCATGATATCAATCAATAAAAATTATATTTGATTAATCACAACGAACAAAACGATTAAAATAATTTGAACATTCCGTCTGACAAACTAGTTCGAACTTTTTCAGTAAAATAATCGAAGATTTTGATAATAATGTTAAAACGACTCAAATTTCAATCATTAGGACCATTAAAATGTAACTTTCACATATATCTTTTATATAATCGGAAATCAGTTTCTGTTTAGCGCTGAAAATGTTCGTATAAATATATTAATGTTATATTGTCGAAATACATTTGGCTCTTCAGGTGTCCTATCGCCGTTCCAAGTTAAATGATCTCCATATTGTCCTGGTACCTCATGATCATTTTGCATTTTGAGAGCTAGAAGAAACAGCAAGGTGGTCATGTTTTATTTATTCATTTATTTATTTGAACACATATATATATTGATACAAGCGGGCACCGAATACATATACGCCACACAAGTTACTTGATTTGTGTTTGGGCTGTGATACTGTTCGGGTGCTCAGACTGAAGCAGATGGTTTTCTTAAAAGGCCACACTCGGAGCCTTCAACCTAAAGGTCTGGTCCACAAGTGAGTGGAACAACGTCAGGAGATGCAGTCACATGGTAGCCGGTGACCAATAATTGGTTCATACACCATTTGTTCCTTCAGGATACTGGAGCCCATTGGTTTGGAATCAGGGTTTTCTAACTCGCCTAGGTGAACTCTTCGTGTCCATCAACCTGGTTAAAGCGCCGGACATTCGCTTTTGGTACTCTTAATTTCGTAAACAACACCGCCGTGAGTGAGCAGGACTTTCCTGTGAGTGGCTGTATACGCGTGGCTTTGTGAGAGCATTTGGAGAGGGAGAGATGACTCCCCCCACTCTTGACCGTACCAGGGCATTTAGTGGTCATGTCCGATATGTTGATTGTCTGTTTATTCATTCTTATAGCTAACTTGTTTAGTACCTTGACTCATGTACTCATCGGAGAGACCATGTAATTTTATATTTAACAGTTCGATTTACAAAAGCATATAATTTGAAGAGTAGAAGATCAGTATTTACCGAATTTGAACAATTTATAATGAACTGAAAAGTGTCCCTCAGTATAAGCAACTTAGACTCATTTCTAAAGTTGATGTAAGATATATTTCAATGCAAGCAATCAAGTTAGCTCCAACACAGTTTGTTCTCTTTCAAGCTTGAGATTCACCCAAGAGATGATTTAATGCACACTGCTTCAGCACAGTAAACTCATTCTTTATTTTGCAAGTGCATATCTCATCTAGTCAACAAGTGGCTCAAGTTCGTAAAAGTCAACTGAGATTTTGTCAGACAATAATGAGAATTCCTAGATAAGTAAAGTGGTTAAAGCGGTGAACTACTTCACTCCCCAAAATTATATCAGGTGTTGACGCACACCAATCCTGAAGCAACATTTTAATTTTATATGGGGAGAAACGCATCCGAAACATACTTGCATTGTTGTATATGGTGGTTTAAAGATTGCATTTTCTCACCATCTTCACTGAATAGTGCTATGTTGCCGGTGTATCCTTAATTGTAATGAAAATCTGGTAGGAAATAATCCTTATACGGTGATTATTATCTCTAAAAGAATGTCTATGAAAAAGGGAAAATGAGGAAAGTGGACAACTCAGTGCTTCCAGGTTTTTTATGGTGGTCTATCTTCAATTAACTCATGAATTCAACTATAAAATCAATTTTTGATCATCATCTCGAAGATGGAAAATGGATAGTAGACCTTTTTACATTAAAAACAAGGGCTCATATTTATCAAAACCTATTCGATTAACAGTCCAAAAAGAAAAGAAGGAAATGTGAATAAACATCAATTTAAAGTATTCAACTTACATCCAATTCTGTATTGACTTGAATTTTCTGTTTTAATTGACTTTCTAAATTATGACGATTTTGTATACCTTCATTCTGTAGTCGTTTCATTTCAGTCTGATTCTCTTGAATACACTAAATAAATAAATAAATAAATTATTTTTTTATAAGAAAGCAGTTTATCATTCATGTTTTGTTGAATTCAAGACATCTATTCTTTATGGAAGTAACTCTTTCTGTTGAAGACGCTTATTCCTATTGGTTAGTTATACTGTGGTGTGTGCTACTTGTATTGACGTAAGTAGTTTATGATGTTATTCGTGAACAGAAGGTCTGGCAGCAGAGAGACAAGACGATCGAACAGTAAAGAATGGGAACAGAATGCAATTTGTATGAAAATGCAAGAACAATGAAGTCTGAGTCATTTTAAGACAATTGGTGGACATTTTGCAAATTAAGCATCTACTTTATGATTGTTAGATTTTATGAACAAGTCCTGTGGTTTTGTGTTAGGCACATTCGATTGTCCCCACTGGTGTTCTTGTTCACTACAATACTACCACTACTATATATATATGTTATATTTAAGTTCTCTACTTTCAAAGATTTTATAAATGTATCGATGTGCAGTAGTTGGTTGGCTAATGTATTATACTTTAGCTCCTACTAATAAATATTTCGAGAAAGATTTACGTTTTGGGTTAGATATAGTTAGAAAGAACAATAGAGGACTGTGATAGTCATTCCTGTTTGAATCAAAGCAAAGAGTTTCTAATAGTAAATATAATCTGTATTAAACTACATTATTCACTTAAAGATTAACTAGAATTTCAAAAGTTGAGATCATGAGTCAATTGAAGCTAGATTACCATGGAAAACTTGAAAGCACTGGATGGCCGTTTCGTCCTATTGTAGGACTCCTCAGCAGTGCGCATCCACGATCCCACTCGCGGGATTCGAACCAAGGGCCTTCAGTCGCGCACGCGAGCGCTTAACCATGATGGTCTAGCTTCAACTGACTCATAATCTCAACTATTGAAATTACTACAATCTCCACAAAACCCCTTCTGATATTAACTAGAATATTTTTAAAGTTTTCACTGTACAATACTTCTAAGCTTTTCCAGTAGAGATCGTGATCAAGGTTTATTACGAAATAAAATCCATAATGCATTCACATGTTGCAATTCAAAGTCAAACATCTTCAGTCATTACTGAAGTTGGTGACCACTATGTTCGGAATAATCAAGTTAATTGTAGCTAGCAGTAGAATTCAGGGTTCACATTTTATCCTATTTGGAAATCATTAGCTGGATGTATCTGCATCCCAGTCCTAATATTCATACTAAGACTTTAACCTTGTACCTATAGCTTTGAACGGCCATGCGTTATTTGCAGAACTAAGATCAATCAAACGTTCTTCAGATTTGGTACGATCATTTTCTTCTTTGTTCTTAAACGATCTCTAGACAGATTTTGGTTGGTTGAATATAGATTGTCTGATAAAGATGAAGAGATATTCAGTTTTTGGAATAAAATATCGAAATGATTTTCCTCAATCCCTAATTTATCGTTAATACGCAGTAGAATGTCTCCTTTATGGGAGTAATAAGCTTTATTGGTACTAGTTTCAGAGCAACTAAAGTACTGCTATGAAACACGTTCAAAGTTCCAACAACATGAATTCTACCAGAAAGAGCTCTTTGTCTTCAACTTGTAATTTCATATCAACTGGGTTTCCAGTGATAGCGTCCATCTATGTTACCGGGTTCGGATCTTGGAGGAGAAGGCAGCAGATTCACAAGGATTTCAGGTTTATCTTGCTCACAATTGCTAACTAGTATACAATCCAGATTCGAGGATTTCCACTGACTATCTTCAAAAGTCTGACAGTACGTTTGTCGCAAATTAACTAGTTGTTAACTTTTAACAAGAGTTGTATAGTCAATTTTCCAATGAGTATTTCTCAAACAGTAGAAGCTACCGTAAAATAAACAAGAATATACATATATATAATCAGTTGGTTGGTGATTGTCTATTGGAATGTATTTGCTGGAGATTTAGTGGCTGAATTCCCAATGAGTAAATCATCAGTTAGATTACATTTTTCATTTCATTGACTTCATGTGTTCATCGCTCCCTCATAAAAAGGATACGCATAATATATGATGGTTAACTATTAATAAAATAAATAGTTATCAGTATGGGGTTGTAGAGATAGTTGAATGTTATTGAGGTGACTAAGCGATCTAAGTTATACCACCACTGAAAATCTGGAAGTAATGAACAGCTGTTTTGTCTTAGTATGAGACTCTTAACCAGTGTGTATCCGCAACTCCGTCACTAGAGATAGAACCCAGGACCCTAACCATTTTAAAGCTAACAAGGAGAGAAAATTTACGGAGTTCTAGTGAATAGTCCTAGCCAATGGAGTTGTCGGGTTTGAGGTAGGTATCCACCAAAGACAGTGGTTGCGCAGTATCGCGGGTTGATTGAAATTAGACTTGTACACCATTAGATCCCTGTTCAGTGATCTAGAGGTTGAGCGTTCTCGCATGAGATCGAAGGTCGTGTAGGTGGGCACTGTTGAGGAGTCTGATATCAAGATGAAACAACTGTCTGCTGCTTCTAATTATTTCAATGATTGTTTACCTATTCTATTACTTAAATTTTACTGAAACTTACCTTTTTTAAGTTCAATATTGTCTCTGTTTGGTCATCAATTACTTTACTCTTGATTTTAACAGAGTCATTTTCATTCTAAAGACGAATTAGAAGATGTAATCATTAATGATATACTCTGATGGTATCAATTTGTACTGAGATTTAAAGTGGTTACATATTCAGTTGTTTATTAGTCAAGATATTAAATCACTTACCAGTAACGGAAGATATCACATATGAATGGGGAATTGTACTGATTAACCATCTGGTACTTAATGATAAGTCACTAACAGTTATTGTCTTACTTATTAACAACGAACTATGGAATTTCATATCTTTGATATAAAATTTAAGTTTAAATTTAGTGAGATTGATTATAGACTCAGTGCTTATTGTAGATCGGTACGCTTATAATAACCGATCGCAATGACAATACACAATTGAACAATAGAATACAAACTGTTTCTTTAAGAAACCAAGTCAGTACTGATAGGTCTACTAATGGAACGTTTATTGCTGTCTTTCATAAATACTTCATTTAATACTAGACTAAATTTGCACGTCAATTGGAACTATAGAGAAAAGGTGAGAGATGTGAATAGGAGCTTGACTCAGTATTAAGAGATTTATATGTGATTTCGAACTTCTAAAGCTTTCTGAAAACACACTAAACACAAGAATAGTATAGGTAATTATTCACTCAAAAAAATATGACAGATGATCCTTCATTTTCTGAGAAGCTACTATACAATGCTGGTTGGATAAAACACCTCCTGGTGTATTTTGGTCTTTTGATGATTTAGACGAATCAACGTTAAATCATGTTAAATAAACAACTAATACCAGATTGATGTTAAGCGATTGTTAAATATTATGTAATTACTTCTGGTGATTAGATTAACGTTAATTCATGATAGAAGCAACTAAAAATCTGACAAATATTTTTCAACAATAATTAAAAATCAATATTGTTAAACTTCCCCTCGAATGCCCTGGTACGGCCGAGAGTGGGGAGAGTTAGCTCCACCTCCCGAAATCCTCTTAAATGACCACGTGCATACAACCACTGCCAGAGAAGTCCTTCCACTGCCTTATGGATTAGACCTATAGGTCAAAGGCTCCGTGTGTGGCCTCCTGAGAAAACCACCTGCTTCGGTTTGGGCACACGGACAGTATCCCAGCCTCTACACAAATCGAATGATTTATGTGGCGCAAATGTATTCAATGCCTCCTAGTACTAACGTTTATATGTTTAAATAAATAAATTAAAAGTCAATATTAAATTATGTTAAAATAGAAGAAACATACTTCAAGAGATTTTTTAAGACTGGCTATCTCTAATTCTTGAGCTTCAATTTTAGCTTCTAATCGTCCACGATCTTGAGCTAAAGCTGATCCTAACATAAAAAAATTATGCCAGTAGTATTTATTGTAATAATGTAGAAATACACATGTTAAAGTAGAAGAAAACATACATTCGAACAGCTGAAACCTAGAAGTTTACACTCCTTTTTGTTCGTTTAAAAGAACAGGATCAAAATAATCGAGGACTATTCCTGAAAGAATACATATTTGGACTATAGTTGGTAATGGTATATATACAGGATGTATATTTTATACCATTTAAGACTTGTCAGATAAAGTAATCCACGAAAGATGTTATTATAATTCTCTCTTATCACGACCCAGCTATACATATTGCTTAATAGTCTTGGACACACCTATTCACTAGACAAGTCCCCAAATCAGAACACGGTTGAATAGGAAAGAGATTATATTCCTAATAACAAGGTGTAGATGGAAGTGAGAAGCATAATGAGAGAAACGTTAGTATATTTATACCATTCTAGTGTCCTTCAAGTATTGGTTAGTGCTGATTGGCTAATTCTTATCTAGTCAGCGTGCACCAACACAATCGTACATGGAACATGCATTAATCCAATTTATATCCCACTAACAGATGTATAGTTTTCAACAAAGATTGATCAAAATTTATTATTATTGATTCTTAACAATGAGATAATATAAACTATTATGAATCAATCAATAATTATCTAACTGTTTCCATGAGGAGAATAAACTTTGTGTGTCGTTGGTCCAGTTGATAAACCACTGTTCTTTAATTGGCGGTATCATTACCTAACATATTAATATGGAAGAAGGCCACAAGTTAACACAAAGAAATTTTATGTCATATAGTTTACAAGTTTGTCGTATTAACTTGGAATCATAATAGAATTTGTTATGATTTTAATTATTATTTTTTATTTAATAGTTGAATTCATGAGTCGATTAAAGCTAGACCACCATGTAAAACCTGGAAGCACTGGATGGTCGTTTCGTTTTAGTATAGGACTTCTCAACAGTGAGTGCCCATGATCGCACATGTAAGATTCGAACCCAGGACCTATCAGTCTCGCGCGCGAACGCTTAACATTTAGACTACTGAGCCAGAATTCAACGGTGTTCATGTCTAACTTTAACCAATCCACGAAATTGCGCCATCATCCGTTAATTTGTTTGACTATTCATTTTGAATCTGAGATTTAATGTTAGCTAAATTCAGTTATTATAAGCTGAAAGTTCAGTAAAACTAGATTTACCAAGGGTTTTCTAAAATATGAAAAACAGATATCGCTTAATATTACTACTTCAATGAGAATTTTGAAAAAAATACTATGCATGACCTAGTTGTAACTACCGTTTGGTTACTACTATTTCTCAAAAAATGACATATAGATACAACGTACTGATCTTTGAAGTGTTTAATTATGTTTGTTTAGTACTTTTGAATGTTGAGGGAACAGTCAAATATCTTTTACCTTACCGTCAGTATTTGAAGAACGAGAGAACAAGGAAGTATATGGAAAATTATGCATCAATTCAACTTGTCAATCATTATAATAAAACAAAAGAACAATTAATCACACATTAAAACGAAAAAAAAGCAAAAAATGACTATGGTAATATTAACCTTGCTTAGCCAATTCTTCACTCCAATTACGTCTTTCAGCTTTTAATCCAGCAATAATTGATTCTTGAGCTGTCATTTCAGCTTTTTGTTGTTTCAATTCCTATAATCAACAAACAGAAAAGATGATGATTATTACAAATAAAGGAATTTTACTGAATCAAATTTCACATATATGAGGACATTTCATGGATGAACTCGAGGAAGCTCTAAGAAGCTCAGAAAGAGCCGAAGATATTCTATTCATTCATCTTTTGGAAGAATATTCTAGAATCCCCACGTGTAGCTCCCCTATTGGACAAATGCTAATAGCCCCATGTATGCGGATTGGAGGACTATAATGATGATTTTGTTTACACTAAAAACTATAAATATCTAAAAGTTTCATACCACATTTGAAACTGTTTGGAATAGCATTCCTTTCACTTGTCTTCATTTGCAACTTTGAAGTGTTCTAGCATTCGAGTGCTCTAGTTGTACGCGTTATAATAAGAATCTAAGCTCTAGATATAACAATATAAATTAGAAAAAGGACTAACTAGAATGATCAACTAAAGCTGTTTGAGTATAGTTAACATGTCACAACCTAAGGATAGATTGTTCATTATGAATTAATAACAAATGATTGTTGGACAGATACTTCTATTTGTTTGATCTGTATAACTCATTTATAAATCATAGAGAAATATTGAGGTGAACGTATTTTTTCTGTATATTTAATCCAAAATTCGTGTACAATGTATAAGTAATCTCATAACTGACGCTTAAGGTTCAACGACGAATGAGTTTATTTGAACGCATAAATATTGGTACAAAGGGGCACTGAATACATATGCGCCACACAAGTCACTTGATTTTTGTGTGGGCTATGATAATAGCCGAGTGCTCAGACCAAAGCAGGTAGTTTTCTTAGGGGGCCACATCCAGAGTCTTCGACATAAAGATCTGATCCACAATGCAGTGGAGCAACGTCAGGAGATACAGTCCCATGTAGCCGGTGACTAACGATTGCTTCATACGCTATTTGTTCCTTCAGCATACTGGAGTCCATGTAAACCATTAGTTTGGAATCAGGGTTTTTCAACTCCCTAGATGGATTCTCCATACCAACTCAAACAAATTATGCATCCCAAAATGTTTGATAAGAATTATTAAAGAACAGTGACTATAGTTCGTGAATACAGTTCATAGGTATAAAATCAATAACCTTTCGTAAATTTTCATGATTTCTAATTCGTGTTTGTGCTTCTTCTAAATGCATTTCCAAAGTTGCAATACGTTCCTGTAAAATATATAAAGATAATGTGGAAATAAACTAATGTATTCTATGATAGTTAAGACAAATGATGGTTTTGTAGATTGTGTGTAATAGGCGAATTGACAATATTCCTAAATTCTAATATTAAACCCCTAATCCTGAAAAAAATATAAACTATTTGTATTCCATTTTATGAACTAACTAGTCAGTTAATGCCTCTTTGATTTTCGCTAGAATACTTTACTTTGGTTAACTGATTGGAATTCTGTGTGGGTTGTCGGTCATTTAGCGTTTAATGATTCCAGTTTGATCAGAAGGTTGCGTGTTCGAATCACGTCGGGCTCACCACATTAGTGGTCCGTGGTCTGACACCAGTGAGATCGTTTCTGATTGCTATTGAGATATACATATCGTCAATCCTCGTATATAATCATCGGCTTAAATCGTGTTAGTCAATAACGGAATTAAATAACTCAAATAAGAGAATGAATTTCGAATACGCATATTTCATACAATCTTTAATCCAGGCCAAATATCGGGGAAGTGAAGAGAAATGACGCGGAATGTAGAAGGGTCATGGCTTCTGGGCCACTAACAGCGTAAAAGACTCTCAATTAGTGGAAATAATAAGACAATACACAACAGATAATTAAAACAAAAACACAATGAATTTCGACAAACATCACTCTATTTCATTGTAAAAACGTTACTTTTAAATTGTGCTGTAATAGAAGATGAGCTTTTTGTTCACTTGTGTACTTAGATTTTTGTTCCTTAACTACCTACATTAGAAAAAAGAGGGAATAACAGAGAATAGATGACAGTTCAAGTCTCCTATGAAATAAAAGAGTAGTGATCTTAAAAATCATCACTAACCACATATATATGGATTAAAATCATATAAACTATGCTTGACTGAGTTTAGGATACATTAATTTGATCTCCTTCAAAGTACTCGATATTCTACGGGAAAATATGTGTCCTGTGTCCGTTTCCATCGTTCAAAATATACAAGAAAATCGTCCAAGATCTTTTTTTTTTCAGGTGCTCCCTCATCATTGCATATAACGTCATCTCCATATAGTCACGTTAGGACTATTTCGGATTTTTGTGAATAAAATGAAACATCAGTCCTGATTTTGATAAGTAGAGATGGTGATCTAATGCAGTGAATAAATCATAGGAATAGAACAGGTGGAAAAAACTTAATATTAATGGAGTAAAAGTCATACTTCGAAGGCATTTTCAACATTTAACAATCAGCAGATGAATAATGACAGGTTACCAAGATCGAAATGAATCTAGATGATTAGCGTTAGTGCTCAATGACACTTATCGTTAGATTGCTTGCTTATAACTGACACACTTTTTAGTTTAATTTGCATATTTACTGGACAAACCATACATACACCAAATTTATTTCACTGGATTATACTCCTTGAATAACATCTTCAAACCCTAATCTTCCCGATTACAGCTTATACTTTTACTACCTCTACGACTATGGAATTTGAATCGACGATTGTATCTCTGTGCTAATGTGGTATGGCAGCTTGAACTGATGTACATACGTACGAATTACTACGTTGTTGCTGATTGACCGATTGACTAATGAGAATTGATCGTTTGACCAACACACGTAATGAAGACAATCCTAAAACTGAACATTCTAATTTACTACGATAGTCCAAAAAACATAAGACAAATTTACAGATATAAACCTTCAATCCTTTTCAATTTCTGGATGGAAGTATTCTTTTTTTCACCAAAATATTGCATCAAACAACTGAAGGGGCTTCATTCGAAAACTATTGATCCAATACAATATTGCAGACAACACTTATCTGATCTATTTACTTCAATTACTTTACGTCAGGTCTTTCCACTTTCATCATTTTTAATTAATTTCAAAACAGATATGATCTTACTTGGTATTGTTAGGCTTTTATCTTCCTATTAAGGTTTAAGACTGCAATTGATCAGTCTGTTATTGGCATATGTGCATACTGTGCGTATGCCTCGATATTGCCTTAATTCACAAGCTTTCTGTAAGCAATGATGGATAGTGGCTAGCAGTGAAATCCAGGACTCAGTAGCTGAGTGGATAACGCGATGGTGTTTGAAGCAAATTGTATTGGGTTCGAGTCCCAGAGTGAACATCAACTCTGAGATGCAGGTAAATCCAGCTGACGAGTCCCAAATAGGACGAGACGCGCGTCCTGGATTCCACTGCTAGCCACTATCCATCATTGGTTACAGATATGATCTTAAAGATAATACTCTCCCTGTCCTACTTTATAAAAATGAATCTCTTATGTAGTGATTCACTTATTAACCTTGACTATTCAGTTGACGTCTATGGCAAATACATTCTGTTTTAAAGATGATTAACAGTCCATTTGTGTTTGAAATGCATTTATATTCCTATTGGTCTAAAAATGTGCTTCGGGACTGGTTCTCGTTAATAAATCATATGATGTAAGAAATGAATCAGTAAAGTGTGTCAACCACTTTAGGTATTTTGAAAACCTCCCTAATTCTGACAGTTTGGTGGCTAAAAAAAGTCTTGTCACTCGTAGGAAAGCTCACCGCAGTTTCTCTAATTTGTGACACTTACGATGATCTGTTTGCCTATAAAAGTATGAGTACGCTGAGTGGTCCGCTTAGTATTTCTTTACAGCTATAAAATAAGATGAATGAAAACAGAACAAATGTGTAGACTTTAAACACAGTAGTATTCAAACTATTGGAAATGAATTGTGTAGTCACCTAGTGAGTAGTGTTTAGTTGAGATGTAGATCAGTAGGCCATGGTGTGAAATTGGTTGATGACATAATATATTTTGAATAATATACGTGTTAATCGTCCATAGCCACTGCACTCATCATGAATCATACAAAACGTATAGAATATTTGCTTTGCAAGATGAAAATTTTTAACCAATAAACATTAGATTTAAGTCTCGACTCTCTCAGTTGAGTTTGGTCAACCATATCGTATGCGAAACCCCGGACAAAAAAGTACGACTCAAAATAGAATACATGAATAGTTTTGCTTGGCTACCGAGCTATATCAAGACTGATGAACTTATGTAATAATTTTGCAATGCATAAATACTCCAATACAACAATAACAAAGAATAAATACAGAAGATTTCTAAGGGTTTCTAATCTTCCGTCGTTGATGTTAAAGACTAAGACTTCAATAGAAGTTTGTAATTAAATGTCAATATCGAGATAATCTGTTCAAAATGCACACATAAGTACTAATCATTTCCAATTCTTAACATTAACAACAAGAATATACAAACTTTTATAAACAAAATTCATATCCTCTATACAAGTGGTTTGTATATCAAAACTCAGTATCTCAGTAAATAATACATTGAGTGTTTTTGACAAAGGAAGTAGTGAGTTCAAGTATCGGTATGAACATCAAAAGAGAGATGTAATTTGTTGGGGTGATCCGGCAAATTTCTCGCAAAAGACAAGCAAGGATCAGGAAACACTAAGAAGCGTTTCCTCCAATCAGCGTTCAGTTGAAGTTTTAGCCAAAAATATCAAGGGGGGAATGTCACATGCGGAGGTTCTGATTGGCTGATTGCTACACTGCTGCTATGTTTAGTAGCATTCCAGAATCTTCTAGCAACCCAAGGACATTTAAAATATTATAAAAACCCTGTATTTTCTGTACTTCCCGCATACTTTGCGTCTTCTCTCTCGTGTTCGGGTCGCTGTATAGTTCTAGCTTGGGGGTTACAGAATAACTTAGGAAACGAATATAGCGTTCGATCTGCAAGACTTATCATGATTACATCTTATTATTATCGTAACAGAATAAAGCATGTGTCATGAATGCATTACAAGACATTATCTCAACTTTAATAAAATACAAAAATGAATATGAAAAAAAAACACAAAGAAATCAGAAAAGTGGTTACCGTATTTAACTCTTGTATTAAACAACGTGCAGATTCTTCACGTTCTATCATTTCTTTTAATTGTAATTGTGTATTGATCAATTCATTTTTACATAAATCTGATGTTTTAAGTAACTACAATTAGAGTAATGACATAAAAGATTAAAAGAAAATCAACGAATATATCAGGCTCCATGCAAAGCTCAAAACAACTATCTGTCAATCAACGCCAAAGTCAACATTTTCAATACAAATGTCAGGACAGTTCTACTGTATGGGATGGGAACTTGGAGAACTAAGAAAGCAATCATCCACAATATACAAGTGTTTATTAACAGTTGTTTACGCAATATACTTCGGATCCCTTGGTCAGATACTATCAGCAACAACGGACTGTTGAAGAGAACAAACCAGATCACAGCGAAGGAAGAAATCAGGAAGTGGATAGGATACACAATGAAGAAAGCATCCAACTGCTTCACAAAGCACAAGGCGTCCCCAAGGCAAAAGGAGGAGAGGGAGACGAAAGAACACATTACACCGAGAAATGGAGACAGACATGAGAAGAATGAACAACAGTTCGATAACATTAGAAAGAAAGGCCCAGGACAGAGTGGGTTGGAGAATGCTGGTCGGCGGTTTATGCTCCAATCGGAGTAACAGACCTAAGTAAGTAAGTGATATTTAAAGAACTGTTGATAAGAATAACTAATAAGTAATCACATATGAATTGGTATATTACATAATCTCTGTAACCATTTTCCGTCTCATTGACCAACGGCAACTGGAAATGCGATTCCATTAGATAATTATAATAAATCATTTCCAAAAAAAGAAACAATCGATTTTGTATTGCAAAAATAAATTAATCATTATAACAGAAATTTAGTACAAAATTATTCACAAGCATAAACATACTGTATCATATCGTTCTGCTTCAATTCTCAATGCCATTCTGAATTCATCTTCAAGAGCTGTGTAACGTTTAGTACTGTCGATTAATCTAGTAAAATAAAGAAATATTAGAATCACGAAGATGGAGTTACTAATCCAGAACCCAGCCCCCTCCCTCTTTAACCAGTTGTAACTCTAGAAGGGCTCTCGAAGGAGTTTTCGTTGTAGGCTTGTGTATAATATAATATGCAACTAATATGTAACTTAATGATATTCACAACCGTATACTGATAAATACCATATGAGGGAATTCTCGGAGTTCTAGTGAGAAGCTGTAACCAGTGGAGCTAATCCTTGTCGAGTAGTTACAGGTATCTGTCTCAGAACAATGAAAGATGATCGCGAAATTTCGTGGACTGGTTGAGGTTAGACATTAACACCGTTGGATACCGACTCAGTCGTCTAGAGGTTAAGCGTACGCGTGCAGGATCATGGATACACACTATTGAGGAGTCCCGTATTGAGATGGAACTGACGTTCATGTTTTCAATGGTTATCTAGCTTAGATCGACTCATGATTTCAGCTGTGAAAACACTTGTAAAAATAAGTAAAACATACTTTTCTTGAAGCAAATCCATATCTTTTTGGTGATGTGCTCGTTCCAGATCAATTTTTGCTGATATAAACTTAGATAATTCTGGACTATCCAATTTATAACGATTATTTAATTCTTTTCTATATAAAATGACAAGAAGGAAATTGAGAATGAATAAAAAGTGCAAATGAGTAACAGTTGATAGCAGATTGATATGCACAAAATTATTGATTAACACTAATCTTATAAATATTGTTATTGGCTTAAAAATGTATCAGTCTAAAAGAGTTGTCAGTATTAGTGTTGTTGAGATTATTAAGTTTTTGATTGAGATCATGAACTGATTGATGTTAGGCCAGCACTGAAAACCAGAAAGCACTGGACGGCCGTTTCGTTCTTTTGTGGGACTCTTCAGCAGTGCGCATCCATGACCCCGTTCGCGGGACTCGAACCCAGGGCTTTCAGCCTCACGTGCGAACGCTTAACCTCTAGACCATTGAACCAGCATCCAATTGTATTCATGTATAACCTTCAACCAATCTACGAAATTGCGCAACTATTTTCCATTGTACTGAGATAGAAAACTGTCTCTACCGGACACAGTTGTACAGTGAATAATGTTTATTGTGATATTCATTACTGATTAGAAATTTCAGCGAGACTATAACTTATGGGCGAACCGATTATATTTAAGATAGCAAATCTTATATTTCGGCGCGAAATTTATCCCCTAATTTGGCTAAATACCAATTTGGAATTATAAATGATGTTAGTTCGTGATGAAAACATTGAATCGGATTCTGAACCCTAACATTCAACTGTAAATCCTAATCTTATTTCCTAGCACTAATATATATACCTCATTTAACCCTGGTAAGTAGGTCAACATTCCAAAGTCCTTTTAACGTTACACAAAGGTCGTTCATAAGTTATATATTTACTGGTATTTCCCTTGTTAATTCAAATTTACAACTTGACAAGCTGAAGTCTATAAATGAAAACATCATTGGAAATGTAAGTTGACTTAAAAAAGCCGATATTGTAAGTGTGCAATATTTCAAATGATGGAATTTATCCTCCGTTAATAACTGACAGAATATAGTCAATTCCACATGCTTGAATATTTCACTCAGGTTATTATTAGCTTGAAGTAGTTCTATTCAGAAATCATAATTAGATTCCATAATGTTAAATGATAATGGAGCAGTTAGCATAGTGAATCTTCATCGACTGATATGGCTGGGTCGCGTGTTACGCATGTCTGAACATTGATTACCACGACGCACAACGCTGACTAGTGCTAGGGATGGTTAGAAGGAAGTTAGGCGTGGCCAAACTAAAATGTGGCATCAATCCACAAAGTCACTAACTTGTAGCCTTAGCCATGTCGGTAGATACAGACTACTTGGTTAGAGTCCGCGTGACTATCGCAACCAATGGTTGGAGACTCTGGGTGACATGGCTCAGAATCGATCACAATGGCGTCGGTGTATACACTCTATGTCTTCACTTAAACTAGGAGATTAAAATCACTTCATATCTTTCTACCAACTAATTCCTTCTTACCTTACTATGTCTTTATATGCAATCTCTCTTTTATAGATTACCACTATTGAATTAACTAGTTCTATGAATTCTGTGTTCATCTTGTTGTACTAATGAGGTATGGAAACTTGGACGGATGCATAAATGTGCCTGATCATACGTTGTAGCTGACTGACTGAGTTAGCATGGTAAACCCTATTTCAAAAGCTTCAAATCTGTCAAATAGTCGTGAAAAATTGTTTTTCAGTTCAGAAATTTGGTCACTACATTGTTGATTGGATAAAACTGGAAAGGAAGGCCCAGGACAGTGTGGGTTGCAGAATGCTGGTCGCAGACGTAAGTAAGTACATTGCTGATTAAATTTCAGAGAGATCGTTCTAATACCAAAACAGTTCTACTGTATCGGGCGGAAACTTGAAGAACTGCGAAAACAATCATCCACAATATACGAGTGTTTATTAACAGTTATCTACGCAAAGTACCTCAGATCCGTTGGTCAGAAACTATCAGCAACAACAATCTACTGTGGGAGAGAACAAACCAGATCAAAGAGGTGAGGGAAATCAGGAAGAAGTGCTAGAAGCGGATAGGACACACATTGAGGAAAGCATCCAACTGCGTCACAAGGCTAGCCCTCACCTGGAATCCTCAAGGCCAAAGGAAAAGAGAAAGACCAAAGAACACATTACGCTGGGAAACGGAGACAGATATGAGAAGAATGAACAACAGTTGGATAGAACTCGAAAGGTAGGTTCAGGACAGTGTAGGTTGGAGAATGCTGGTCGGCGGCCTATGCTCCATTGGGAGTAACAGACCTAAGTAAGTAAGTAAGTAAGTAGATTGCTGATTAGATTCCAGAATGATCGTTTCAATGTCTAACATCAAGAAATAAGTGTCGATTAAGTCCTTTAATTAACATGGACAATAGATTATGTTTTATATGAAATATCATTTCTGAATATTTCAGCAACAAAAAAAACTGATCTTTTTCTTGAAGATAATTCAAATGATCCCAATTTCGACCTCTATTCCCACTTACTCATAATCTGCTTCACGATTACGTAATAATGTTTTGGTTTTGTCTAATTTCTGTTCAGCATTTTCTGCTCTTGTCAATGCATTTTTATTATCTGCGCGTAATTCACTTATGAGTTTGTTTAAATTTTCAATCTACGAAGAGAAATGTTTATCAGCTATTATTGAAAAAATAAACCCTAATCAGGTATAACTAATCAAAGGAAACAATATAATAAGTAGTATAAAATGATAGGTGTTATATCTAGAGCTTAGATTCTTAATATACCACTTATAACTTGAACAATCGAACGCCAGAATCCTTCAATTTACAAATGAGAAGAAAGAGGAAAAGTGAAAGGAATGCTATTTCAAACAGTATCAATTGTGGTATTTATAGTTTTCAGTAAAAACAAAATCATCATTATAGTCCTCTAATCCGTATACAGAGGGTTATTAGCATTTGTCCAATAGGGAAGCTACACGTAGAGATTCTGAAATATTCTTCCAAAAAATGATTGAATATAATTTATTCAGCACTTTCTGAGCTTCTTAGAGCTTGCTCGAGTTCATCCGTGAGCCTTCCCCACAATATATCAATTTATTTTACTACTCTTATTAATAATCTATTAAAGTTTCGAGAATAATAGGTCAGATCATCGAAAGTTTTTTCAGTATGTGGTTTAAATAAATGTTTTTGAGACCATGAATTTAGCTCAGTTGGACCAACACTGTAAACCAAGAAACACTGGATAGTTGTTTCGTCCTTATACAGGACTTCTCAAAATTGCACATCCGTGAACCTGCAGTCGGGTATCGAATCCAGGACGTTTGATCTCATAAGCAAACATCTAATCCCTAAACCACTGAACCGGAATCCAACGGCATGTATATCTAACTTCAATGAGATATCACAAGACTGAAGTTATTAGATAAACAAATGTTTAGTAGTCGTATACTATTAGACTATATTTTATAACAGTTTTATTTCATCCTAAAGTAAGAAAATCAGATTGATTGTTTAACTTTGATTCCAATTCATCTCAGATGTACATTAAATAAAAGAATTGCATAGACTTACAACGAATTAACCTATCAATTATACTGTAATGTTATTTAATAAAGTCTTTGACTAATCGGTTTATCTGACTTTTAAAACTATAATAAGAAGAGTCATCCAAAGTATGAAGGGCTTTATTTCGTTAGACGTAAGATATCGTGATTATATAGTGGTTGGAGGTAGTCAACAGGAAAACCTGGACCCGGTATTCGTGCTATTCGGCACTCGTCGACAAAGTGTACATATAATCTTGAGGGAGCTGGTGGTCCCTGACGGATTCGATCCCGTGTCACCCAGCTTCACAGTCAGAGACGTTACCACTAGGCTATTCAGGCCGCGACCGACTTCCTGTAGAACTGATATGTAGTCGCAGTTGATTGATCACTGGGTGGTAATCAGTGTCATGTGTGTCAGGTCCTTCTTAGTGCAGATCGGATGATATCAACCAAGTTGCAATGTGGCCACTAGTCTAGTTGACTAAACATTACGTGCACTATGTTAAGATTAGATCAGATTAATTGTTTAACTTTGATTCCAATTCCTCTCAGATGCACATTAAATAAAGGGATTGTAGACTTACAACGAATTAACCTATCAATTACACTGTACTGTTATTTAATAAAGTCTTTGACTAATCGGTTTATCTGACTTTTAAAACTATAATAATAAGAGTCATCCAAAGTATGAAAGGCTTTATTTCGTTAGACGTAGGATATCGTTTATATCGATCAAATAAGATTGGGAGATCACTGATTCTCTCTGATCGTATTAAGATGTAATTTAAGACAGAACACTGATAGTCACGTTTAAAAAAGAAATAAAGAACATATGAAAGTTGTTTATCCATCAATTATCGACTGTACCTCTCGTTCATATTGATCTTTAACTTCATTTTCTTTTGCTTGTAAATGATCAACAATTTGACACATATCATTAAATTTTTGCTACATTTAACATTTGAACAAAAAAAGAAGGTGATTAATCAACATGGAAACAATGAACAAACCATTTAGTTAGTAAAAAAACGTAATGGCTTGCTAGGGAACCAGATTTAAGATAATGAATCTTCATTTAATACCTTTTAGGCATTATAACTGATATTGGTTCGTGATAAAACTTTTAATTCTAACTCTTAAACTAGGTTCTTTACACATAGTTATAACCATACTTTGACTTTGGTAAGGGGTTGAAGTTTCTCAATAACACTTTGGTATCACTCAAAAAAAAGTTCATAAATTATAGTTTGTTTACTTGTATCTTCCCATTGTTGTTTTAGGACTGCAAATGATCAGTTTTGTTTTTGGCATATGTGCATTTTGTGCGAACTGCCTCGATATTGCTTTAGATAACAAGCTTTTTAAGCAAAAATAGATAGTGACTAGCAGTGAAATTCAAGACGCGTGTTTCGTCCTACTTGGAACTCGTCAGCTGGACGTAATTGCATCTCAGTACCGTTCGCTAAGTGGATAACGCGATGGCATTGGATTCGAATCTCAGAGTGAACATCAACTCTGAGATGTAGGTACATCCAGTTGATGAGTCTCAAATAGAACGAAACGCGAGTCGTGGATTCCACTGCTAACCATTATCCATCTTTACTTATAACATCCTAAATGTTAAACTAAACTTCAGATAAAAACTAGCTGAAAGAAAAACCAGAAATTTATGAAGTATTGAAAAATTGTAAATTTACTTCGATTATCTTTAATTGAGATTGTACTAATAATTTTTCCTGATGTTCTGTAGTAAATGCCTGTTTCAATTCTTCTGTGACTTTCAATGCTTCATTCTGATCCATTGCTTTTATTACGAATGAATATATTATGATTAATAATGAATAATATTACAACATAAATCTCTTTATGATATATTAAACTATAAAAAGAACCCTACTATTTAGTGCATTACTAATAACATGATTTGTTTAAAGGTATAAAGTGATGAAACAAGAAGGTAGTCAATCGTTATTAATTTCAATTTTCATCAAAATGGATAGTAACATAATTGAGTGAACAACTTCAATCACTACAAATTATTCAATGAAATCACTTCTACTCACTATGATTACATAATGTATCAAATATACTATCCATATATTCTGGTTATGATACAAGAGAATAGTTTATGCAAGTTAGTTAAAGAGATAATATTAAGGTGAGATTATAATTAATGGACAACCTCCGAGCGACGCCAAAGTGACCTTGAGGGTGTCCACCTGATAACTAGGAACAAATGAGGGTTATAAATTAGTGTGAGGAATTCAAATTATGATTTACAATTGATGATGAAAGTTAGAAATTAGATTTAAGGTTTTCATCACAAACTGACATTAGCTATAATGCCAAAACTCTATTTATCCGAATGAATGAGTGAATTTCGCGCCAAAATCCGAGACTTGTTATCTTATACCTGATCGGTTCATTTATAAATTATAATTTCGCCAATATTAGGTACAAAGTGAATAATCAATCTCCAATATAATACAGTACTGAGTTATTTGTAATTAAAACGGTTAATAATATATTCAGGATTTAAAATTAATGCCTGAAATTTAAACAGTCTATCAGAACTGATCACTTATACATCATAATTAGATTAATCTTACATTTACACTACAATCTTCATTTGGATTTGATCAAGTTGAATAAGTGGTCATTGGGAAAATAATCCTATGGAAAATCTTACAAAATGAATTGTGATTGTTCAACTTTTCTAATTCATCTATTTATTACTTAACAATTCTCAAATGAATTACAAGTAAACAGATGATTCAGTTATAAATGAACTGATAATTATCAAACTGATAGATCCTGGGTTCGAATCTTGTGGGGTGAGATTGTGGGTGTGCAATGTTGAGGAGTCACATACTAAGACGAAACGGTCGTTCATTATTTCCAAATTTTCCATAGTGATCTAGTTTCAATTGACTCATGAATTCAACGGTAAAATTATTAAATTGTTTAGATAATAAATTAACTTTAGAGAAATACAAATGTAGGTTGAGCGTTCGCGCGCGAGACTGAAGTCCCTGGGTTCGAATCCCACGAACGAGATCATGGATGCGCACTGCTGATGAGTCTCACAATAGGTCAAAACGTTCGTCCGTTGCTTCCAACTTTCCAACGGTGGTCTAACATCAATCAGTTCATGATCTCAATCAAAAAATATAAGTTTACCTGATAATTCTAATTCACGTATTCGACTAACTAAATCTTGACACAATTGTTCAGACTGTTTTCTTCGTGATATTTCTTGATCAAATTCATAAAGTATTTTCTATGTAGAAGTCAAATGTTAAGATATAATAGTCTTCTAAACAATATCTAATTAAACTACTGATTATGAATTCAGTAGAATTATGAAAAGAATTAAAGAAATATACAAATGTCAATCACATCTTGGACGAACAATAAACGTTAACACATTTAATGACAGCTAGGATTTCAACGAGTTTGACTGATTATAATAAATGGCTAGTTGGCTCCGACTCTTTTCAAGAAAAATGTCTTATCGGATACTCCTAAATAATCATGATTATTTATCCAAATATGAATGTTCAACTAATACACAAAAGATAAAATGTTGTTGATTGGAGCAAAGAAAAAAGAGACAAATCGCATAGTATCATTGTCTTATGTTATAAAATGAATGAATGAAGAATGTTGAGATTGCGTACAATTTTTGTGGATGTACAGAAATGACAGTTTAGTTGCTCAGTTCGTGATCTTACACTTATTGTTCTCGTTAAAATATATTTAATGTACGATAACTTAACACCCAATATATAGTCAATATGCACTGCTATATCCGAAAAAGGATTGATCTTACAGTTATTTCTACAGCATGAGTATTTGGTTCCAGATCAATTTGGTAGTAATGCAGGAGGATAAACAAATCAAGATAATTAAAAATTATTCATTTTCAGCGAGTGACCTTCGTTCAGATCTGCCTCGTTTTACGCTTCACAACATTCTCACCATGGATTAAGACTCTCCATAATAGTATCGTATGCTAATATGCAGAGACGTTGCCAAAAAAATTATTGGCTTATAGACTTCAATGTGTCATCAAAAGTACGATTTAATTGTCAAACACACACCAAAATTCAGTTTACGGATAAGACGGAATTTTCAAGCACCAACTGTGAGTAAGTCATTAAAACTGCAACAACACGTACTGATCATGAGATTATGTTTACCATATTCTTAAATATAATATATGACATATTAATTTGCAAAACCATCAACAATATGGTCGAGAAAAATTGTAACTATGAGAAGTACTGCACAAAATAAAGTTGCCATCCGCTTCATTAATGTCCACATTAACTTCGGCCAGCAGTTAATCATCACGAAATTACTTCTCTTATATAAATGTATGTGAACAACTATCGATATGATTTCAACTGAAGAAATGTCGAAATATTGGACAGACGAAACACAAAGGAACATGGATAACTTTTTAGAAGTATGATACTTTAGTAAATCATCAATCAATAGACATATCGAAGTTGCCTTGGTTATCAACTAATCAGGGAAAGGGTAAACAACTCCAAGGTAAGAGATCAGATCAGAAGTGAAAATATTAAGAAAAGATAGCTAAGTAATGATCATACACCCATAGATAACAACCAAACAAGTTCTATGTTAACAAAACAAACAGCAAAGTTCTAACAAATTACTGACGTATGCACTGATAATGTTGTCGAGAAAAAACTATCAACACTTTAGGAATAAATCATTTAGCTCAGAGAATAAAACATCTTTAAAATATTGTTTAGTTAAAATGGATAGTGGTTAGCATTAGAATTGAGGACTTAAATTTCGTCCTATCTGAGACTCATCAACTAGATGTACCTACATCTCAGAGTTGATTTTCACTCTGGGACTCAAACCTAAGTGTATTATGTAGTTAGTTAGCATATATGTAAAACAGTGTTGTAACTATATTCATCTTGTAAGTGGACTAACAAATCATCAATATCTTTAGCAAGAAACGGTTTAATTACTGTTGATTGTATCACTGTGAATTTTAAATCTTTGACGAAAATTTCATAGAATATCAAACCTTACACAACATAAGTGAATTAGAAGCCAAGATGAATAGTGGTTAGCAGTGAAATCCAGGACGCATGTTTCGTGCTACTTGGAACTCGTCAACTGGATGTACCTGCATCTCAGAGTTGATGCACACTTCGGGACTCGAACTCAATATCATTCGTTTCAAAAGTCATCACATTATCTACTTAGCTAATGAGTCCTGATAGCTACTTGCTTGTGCTATGAGGTGAAGTTTAATTCACTTGGTATTGTGTTTACTTGAATTAGATTTAATAAAAAGACATTAAGAAGAAATATGAATGAATACAATAAAAAGCATACGTTCAATGTTTTCATTTCTTTTCCATGATGATATGATTGTACATTTGAAGTAGGAGAAATCTTCATAGTTACAGGAACATCTTGTATGTGTTCTAGTGAAAACAAAAAATTATATAATCAGTCATTTGAACTTTTTTTCTTACTTTGATCAGTTAATTGATTGTTGAAATTCATCAACCCAGTGGAATTGGATCTTTTAGAATTTTCGTGTTTACTGAAATCATTAAAAAAATTTTCTTTATTTACAGCCAACTTTTATTTCAGTAGTATGTAATGAAAATTAAAAGATGTTTATTTTCAAATGTTTCCATCAAGTTATCTTAACAGTTAAAGTGATCACTTTTCAATACTATTTTCTATAATTTGTTATGATGTCAAGATGATTTCCATATTGAATTCAGATTATCAACTGATCAATGTTAGATCATCACTGAAAACCTGGAAGTACTGGACAGAAGTTACGTCCTACTACGGGACTCTTCAGAAGTGAGTATTCACGATCCCGCACGCGAGATTCGAATTCAAAAGCATTGGTCATGCATGCGAACACATAACCTGTAGACTACTGAGCCGGAATTCAACGGGGTTATTGTCTAAATTCAATCGGTTCATGATCTTGAGCGAACATCTACCATTGTCTTCGGTGGGTAACTGCTTCACACCTCTCATGGTTCAACTCCACTGGTCGCGGTCCCCCACTAGAACTCTGAGAAATGCCTCTCAGTTCAAGTCACTAGTGAGCATATGATAATCATCAGTATAGGGTTGTGGAGATTGTTGAGTTTTTTAAATTGGAATCATGAACCGATCCTGTGGGTGAGTGCTGCACATAAGAATGTAATTTTCATTGGAGATTTCGTTTCAATCATCTAAAGCTGTTAATATATGTCATCAGTGAGCACACCATTGTGACGCATCCCCAATCGGATGAAGGTTAAAGCTGGAAATGAAATCCTCAATGAAAAATATACTCTTATATTCAGTACATATACACACTCAGTAGATGAAATAATATCAAAACTCAAGACTGAGGAGAAATATGAAACTGAGTGCATTCGGATCAGCGTGACCGACCTTTAGTTACGTTATCTAAGCTACTCAAATATTAAGCACGACTATCGTAAGGAACTCAATCAGATAATCTACATCCATCAAGATGTGTCAGATAAACAGTAGACGGCTTCATGATTTGACAACAAACCTCATGTTAGGGACCGCTAGTTTCTCTTTAACTTACTCCTTCTTAAACAACCAGCGACATATGATTATCTGTAGTTGTGATGCCCAGTTTGGCTTATAAAATTTCCAACCTAAAAGTAAGGTATATTGGATCACTATCACTTTATTAAGTCACATAAATTAACAATAACAATAAGCTTCGACTACATCTAATGACTTTTCACCCCACATTACATTGGTTTAAATATACCATGATCAAAAGTCTGAAAATCTCAAGCGATTATATAATCTTAAATCAGTTTGTTTTGGTAAGTGAGTGATCACTGGGTGATGATCAGTGTTATGTATGTCAAGTACTTCTTAGTGCAGATCGAGTGTTATCGACCAAGTTTCAACGTGGCCACCAGTCTAGGTGACTCGACATTGCGTGCACTATGTTGAGATAAGATGGTGGTTGAAGGTAGTCAACAGTAAAAACCTGGACCCAGGTTCCGTGCTACTTGGCACTCGTCAGCAAAGTGTGCCTGTATTCTTAAGGGAACTGATGCTCCCATTCCAGTCCTACAGGAGGTCAGTCATGGCCCGGATAGCTCAGTGGTAATGCCTCTAACTATGAAGCTGGGTGTCACGAGATCGAATCTTTCAGAGAGCATAAGTTCCCTCAAGATTAAATGTAAACCTTGCCAACGAGTCCCAAGTAGCACGAAACCTAGGCTCAGGATTTCCTGTCGACTAACTCCACACACTATATTATCTCAGTTTGTATTAAGAATGACATTTGTACAATCGCCAAATTCATACAATCACAAAAATCAACAATGTAAATCAGTAAAACAGATAGTATTTACGTCTTTTTTTCCGCTGAGGTTTTTTGAGATAATCTACCAGAAATCGATTTCGATTTTGTTGATGTACTTGATGGATTTTTGTCTACAACTGATTGTTTCTTCATAGTTGATGAATAATTATGACGTTGAAATGTATTCGAATTTGGATTTTTAAGACTTTGTGCACTTAACTGTTGAACAGGTTGTGATGATTTACCTGCATCTATATTGCGTAAGAGACAAAACGGACATTATGATGCAATAGGACACTAAAACACAAGCTTAATATAGTATCAAACTCAATTGAGTCAATAATATAATAGCCAATATAAACAGAGCCTGAAAATTGAGTAGTTTTACAAATTACAAGTCTCAAATTAATGAAATCACCCATCGAAAAAAGACTGACTTCAATTACATATACTGGAAGTAAGTAATAGAGACAGATGGATAGAATGATACCGAACAACAGAAACAGATAAATAGATAGGTAGATACGCCAAACTATCTAATTAGTTATATAATCATAGTTGCGTTACTAATATTTAAATCTTAGATTATTACAATGGGACAAGAAGTGTACACACACACGCTCATATAAAAACAGTAAAGGTTGATAAGTGAACAATTAACCGAGTCAAAACGTGACTCAAGAATGGATAAATTGGCCTGCCTAGAAGCTACAATAAGTTATATGGGCTTAACATAACATTACACCTTGATATGATTGTTACTGATATTCGATTCATTGAATAATCAGTTTATTCTAATCGAATAATTGATTGAAGGTGCTATGATTATTTGTGACTTCAATTATCAAGATTAAGGGACCGGATAATCCCAATTACTTGTAACAAGGTCGCTGTATTATGTACAATTATGACAACTGTTATCTGGCTTTTTTGAATTATTTTCCCTAATTAGAGTTTTTCTTAGCGAGTTAGTTTTCTACAGGATGAGGTCGCTAACCCCATGCCTAACCCTCCTTCTTTATCCGGGTTTGGGACCCGAAGTAGCCCTAAAGCGGCTCCAGGCGGAGGAGCACAGCTGACAGACCCGTTCAAAGTAAAGACCGGTGTCAAGCAAGGTTGGTTACACACAACCTTTCTCTTTCCCCTGGTGATCGACTGGAACATGGAGACGTCAACATCTGGAAGGAAGCATGGGATGATCTGGCTCTTCTATCGCACACGCAACAATAAATGCAGAAGAAAACAACCAGTGTAGCAGTGGTCTTAGCAACAGTAGATCTCAACATAAACTAAAGGAAAATCAAGATTTTCCGATGCAACACACTTGATGGAGAAACTTTGAAGGATGTAAAAACCTCTACATATCTGGGCAGCATCATTGATGAACACGGTGGATCTGGTGTAGATGTGAAGGCGCGGATCAGCAAAGCAAGAATAGCAAATCTATATCTGAAGAACATCTGGAACTCAAAACAACTGTCTGTCAACCAACACCAAAGTCATAATTTCCAATACAAATGTCAAGACAGTTCTACTGTGTGGAGTGGAAACTTGGAGAACTAAGAAAGCAATCATCCAGAAGATACAAGTGTTTATTAACAGTTTTCTACACAAAATACTTCGGATCTGTTGGTCAGACAATATCAGCAACAACGTACTGTGGGAGTGAACAAACCAGGTTCCAGTAGGGGAAGAAATCAGGTAGAAGCTCTGGAAGTGGATAGGACACATATTGAGGAAAGCACCCAACTGTGTCGAAAGGCAAACACTCACCTGGAATCCTTAATGCCAAAGGAAAAGATGAGGACTAAAGACCACAAGCATGAGAAGAATGAACAACAATTGGGTAGAACTACAAAGGAAGGCCCAGGACAGAGTGGGTTGGAGAATGTTGGCCGACGGCCTATGCTCCACTGGAAGTAACAAACTTAAGTAAATAAGTAAGTAGAAAATCTTGCTTTTTTAAAGTTGTATTGAATATTTAATTGAAATGTCAGAAACATTTTTAAATGTGAAATATTGGAATTATTATTGTGAACACATTATGAGATACAGAAAAATCATAAAAAGTTTACCCAATAAATGAAATAACTGAACTACTAAAATACACGGTTATCGATATCTTATATTGATGAAAAGAATATACAAATGTAGTTTCATGCTGTTTCTTATCGTCAAATCACTGTTTCAATGGTTGTTGATAAATTAAATGAGAGAACATTGTCTGTACAAAAAATCGTCTCAAATTTGTTTGTACTTTACCGAACGTTTAAAAACAACAACAACTGAACACTGTATTGACCATAGGAACTCTCAAAGTTTCGGTACCCATAAAATGGTCATTTGGTTTTAATGAATCATTTATGACATAAATCCAACATTTTGGAAAGTTTTCATGATATTGATTGAACGTGAAATATTACTCACGCATAATCTTCAATATTTAAAGACATAACGTTCACTTCCTTCGTGATAAAGCAGCTAGAAAGATGATTCAGTTAAAGATGTATTCCTGGACAACAAAAATCAATATTTTTTTCTAAATACATGTAACCCTCGTTGATTTTACAAACACTAAATCAATCTATAAGAAAATGTTAAAGTTTCAACAGTTTGTTTTTAACATACCAATGGTCGATTGCACCGTTAAATTATTCGATTGTACGTTTGCTTCAGTTTGAACTTCTCCATCGAACATCTAGAAATGTATTAATGGTGATTGTAAGAAACTCATAAAATACACTTTAAATAAATATATGATTTTTCCAATAGCTGGGATCATAAGTCAATTGAAGTTAGACCATCGTGGAAAACCTGGAATCACTGGACGACAGTTTCGTCTTAGCATGGGACTCCTCAGCAATGCGCATCGAAAATCACGCACCGCGATATTCGAGCCCAGGACCTATCAGTCTCGCACGCGAACAATTAACCTCTAGACCACTGAACTTGTCGGCATCGAACTGTGTTGATGTCTAACTTCTACCAATCCACGAAATGGCGCCACCGTCCGCTGTTGTCTTCAGTGAGTTACAACAGATCAGGTTGAACTTCACTGATCACTGTTTCTCAATAGAACTCCAGGAAATATCTCTTGAAGCCAGTCACTAGTGAGTATATGCTGATTAGTATCACAAGGGGTTTTGTGGATATTATGTTAATTTTTAATAGTTGAGATCATGAGTCAATTGAAGTTAGACCACCATTGCAAACCTGGAAGTACTGGACAGCCGCTTCGTCCTACTGTGTGACTCCTCAATAGTGCGCATAAACGATCCCGCCTCGCGAGATTCGAAAATATATGAATAATGAATAATAAGGAATAAGGATTAAAGTTATCGGATATGGTGGTACTTGAAATTAAAATCTTCTGTCGCTATTTTAAGTTATTAAAAAATTGAACAACCGTCAAAATTTTAAATGAAAAGTGAGAAACATTCTTAAATTTCGCGTGATTTACCATAACTAAATAACATTTGTTTATAAATCGAAATCAATAACCAAGTTGGTGAAGTGAATTTATGTTATATCCCGATGAGAATAATGAATGGTAACTGTTGGAATCTATTTCTGGACTAATACTATGCGCATATTATTTATTGTATAATTGTCAAGTAACTGAACTATTCATATTCTTGTTCCTCATATTATAAGCTTCATTTTGACCTATGAACTATTAATATACGATTTGTCATTTTTGAGTTATACCCAGTCTATCAAATACAGTCGCCCACAATGACAGCCACTTTTGGCTAAATCTTGTGACATGGCTCAGAATCGATCACAATGGCGTAGGTGTATACACTCTCTGTCTTCACTTAAACTATGAGATTAAAATCGCTTCATATCTTCCTTTCTACCAACTAATTCCTTCTTACCTTACTATGTCCTTATATGCAATCTTTCTTTTATATATTACCACCATTGCATTAACTAGTTCTATTAATCCAGTGTTGAACCTGTTGTGCTAATGAAGTATGGAAATTCCGACGGATGTATATATGTGCCTGATCCTATGTTGCAGCTGACTGACTGTGTTGTTATTCATATTTATCTTCACAAAATATGAACAATAATACTAAGCTTATTTGTGTTGTTATCATTTCTAACATTCTAGACATTAGTTTATAAACTTGAATTCATTTAGAATGCAGACACTTACTTCTTTTTCTGGAATATATTGACATAAGTCAAGGGTATTCTTCACTTTAGATGAGTTGATTTCATTTTTCCCATGTACTAAAACAGTATTACCATTTTTTAGATTATTTTCTTGAATTGATGATGAATGAAGTACGTTATTATGATGTGTTGAATGATTATGTTCAGTTTGATAAATTTGCATTAAATGAGAAGTAATTAATGAATTTAATTGACTTTCTAAATTTAATAATCGAAGTTCAGTGGTTGAAGATAATGTAGAAATATGTTGTTCACCTTGTTCACAGGTTGCTGAATGCATCTATTATGAAAAAACAAAACAAAGCAAATTCACTTGGTATTTTTTGTCTTGTATCTTCTCATTGAGGTTTAAGACTACAATTGATCAGTCTGTTACTGGCATATGTGCATACTGTGCGTATGCCTCGACATTGCCTTAATTCACAAGCTTTCTGTAAGCAATGATGGATAGTGGCTAGCAGTGGAATTCAGGACGCGCGTTTCGTCCTATTTGGGACTCGTCAGTTGGATGTGCCTGCATCTCAGAGAGTTGATGTTCACTGTGGGACTCGAACCCAGTACCATTCGCTTCAAACGCCGTCGCGTTATCCAATCAGCTACTGTGTCCTGATAGCCACTTGCTTATGCAATGGGGTGAATTTAAATTCACTTGGTATTGTTTGGCTTGTATCTTCCAATTATGTATCGACTCTAAGAAGTTTAAGTGAATCATTCAAATGTTCTTGAAATTTAAATAAATTTTATGAAGAAATTGGTTGATGTCTAGATGTAGAATAGTCAGTCAGCTGTGACTAATACAAAACCTGGCCGGAACGTTTATGAATTCAAAATAGATATTAAGTTAATTTATCACTGTTTCATTGTCCAAAATAAATGGGCTAAAGAACATTGAAGTATCTTTCTTGTTTTGATGATGTACTTTTAAAAGGCAAAACGTTTTAGGTTCAATAGTTAAGGTTATTTTTAATGTTTTACTTAAACACAAAAACATTGGTACAAGCAGGCACCAAAAAGATATGCACCACATAAATCATTAGATTTTTGCGACGGCTGGGATACTGTCGAGGTGACCAAACCGAAATAGGTGGTTTTCGGGGGGGGGGACATGGAGCCCTCGACCTAAAGGTCTGATTCACAAGGCAGTGGAGCAACGTCAAAAGATGCAGTCCCATGTAGACAGTGACCAATAATTGGTTCATAAGCTATTTTTCCCTCAGGATACTGAAATGAGTGTTTTTCAACTACCCTAGGTAGATTCCCTGTATCCATCAACCCTATTAAAGCGTCGGACATTCGCTTTTTGTCCTCACAATTTCGTGAACAACACCCCTGCCATGAGAAGGCAGTGAGTAGGACATCCCTGAAAGTGGTGGCATCCACGTGGCCTTTGAAAGCATTTCTAGAGGGAGAGGTGACTCTTCCCACTCTCAGCCGTACCAGGGCATTCGGGGGCCAACAGTTAAGGTAGTTTATGTTATTTGAACCTGACCAAGTTATCTAGATAAATTGGCCACAGTGATTACTGACAATGCAATTTCTAGATTATAACTTCATTTAAATGTATTCTTTAGAATACAGTCATTAGTCATGACACCGTCTATCCAACTAGATACACTATTCAGTAATATCTCTAGTTAAATTTGTATAACATATATGCTAAACTGCATACGATTGATCCTAAATAAACACTAATTTCCAAAGTAAAAAATGAGTCCCGATTGAAAATGGTAATGTAAACACACTTAATTATGTTGGGAAATATTGAAAATTGTGAAATTAATTTATCAAATACCAGTCAAATGTTTACATTTACAAACTAATAAGAAAAACCTCTGAGCCTGGTATTAACGTTTATCTGTTCTAGTTATACTATTTCACTTGGGCATGTCCTTATATTTTATTCTCGGAATTACTAAACTTTGTTGTATTCACACCTGGTTCATACAAACTTTAGTTTCCTCAAAAATAACTGATAATCTCTATGAGTTTTCGGTTTCTTTTTCCATAGCATCCACTAATCAGAATAGAATTTTTTCAGTAAAGCTCTAATGATTTGACTCTTCAACCTTGTACTTCGTGGAAATTGAATGTTATCAAACAAACTACTGAATAGTATTAAGTAGTTCGGTGATATGAAATATTCAGCTGATTTCTGGACTAAATTATTCATAAAAATAAATCATTTGTAAGTTCAGTTTAGAATTTATAAAGTTTACTATATCTCTTCCGAGACTTTTAAGTGTTTGAAACTGATACTTTGATTATGATAAAACAAATCTGAACCTATAAACGAGTAAAGTTGATAAATTGATTATTCACAGACTCATAAATCAATAAAGCATATAAGGTTTCGAACTGTAGTCCAGTAACAGAAGCATATTAAAATAAATTATAGAAGATAATTGTTCCCTATTGTCTCTAATAGATTGTTCGCTCAAGTTTTCAACCAAATATAGTGAATAAAATATCCATTTGAAAGTTAATATTATTCAATATAGAACCATCTTTGAAACAAACATCAATGTTAAATCCAAACAAATTTGTTTATTTAGTGTAGAAATCAGAAAATGATTAAATAAACTTTAGTTAATTACATTCTTGACTTCTTTATTAGCAGAATTTTCTGACAAATGTATTTGATCTTTATTATAATTCAGTTTCTTGTCTTTTTCTTCATCCAAATGATCAGATCCCTGTGTATGAACAGAACATACATACAATAAAATTTGGTAAGAATACAGTGTTGATGTTATCGTTTATTTATTTAGACATATAAACATTGGTACAAGGAGGCGCCACATAAATCATTCGATTTGTGTGAGGCTGGGATACTGTCCAGGTACCCAAACCGAAGCAGGTGGTTTTCATAAGGGGTCACACGCCCAGCTTTCGATATAAAGGTCTGATCCACAAGGCAGTGGAGCAACATCATGAGATGCAGCTCCATGGTAGCTTGTGACCAACGACTGGTTCATACGTTGTTTTTTCCTTCAGGATCATGGATCCAATGTACATCATTGTCTAGGAATGAGGGTTTTCCAACTCCGCTTGGTGGACTCATCACGCCCACTAACCAAGTTAAAGCGTCGGACAATCGCTTTTCGTCCTCTTATTTTCGTAAACAACAGTAATGCCGCGAGAAGGCAGTGAGTAGGAATTTCCTGGAAGTGGTTTTATGCACGTGACCATGTGAGAGCATTTGAAGGGAGAGAGCTAACTCTCTCCACTCTTGGCCGTACCAGAGCATTTGGGAGCTGATTTTATCGTAAGTCTAATTGATTTTTTTAAAAATAATATGCAATCCATCTTTTAAAGGAACAAAATCTACTTTGATTACTCTCGTAGTTGTATGACATAATTTTATAAATACTATTCTTGTGATCGTGGATGTGCACTGCTGAGAAGTCCCACAACAGGATGAAAAGGTCGTCCGGTGCTTTTAGGTTTTCAATAGTGGTCTAACATCAACATGATCTCATTCAAAAATTTTCATAAGAGAAATGATAACCATAATCAGTAAATGGATCTAAACGAATTAAACTTACATTCATAAATAAAAAAATATTTTTTAAAACTTACTGACAAACTGGAAGTAGAAATTATGTCGAGAAATCCACTTAATTCTTTAGAGAGGAAAAATAAAAACAAATTCGAAATCAATGATTTTCATCCAATTTTTTTATGCACAAATGTACATAAATCAAACGAAATATTCATTATTATCATCAGAATTCAGTTTAAGAACTTGTTCAACCTTTCCCTTCTAACAGAAGTCTCCATATCGATATGTATTAGAGCTTAGACATAGAGGAATTACAATAAGTTTCAACCCAATGACAAACATTTTCTAATTAAAAGTAATTTTTTATTTTATTTTCATGAACAGTGTTTGTAATTAGAACACCATTATTACCAAATGCCCTGGTACGACTGAGAGTAGGGGGAGTTAGCTCTCTCCCTCTCTCCAGATGCACTCACATGGTCACGTGCATACAATCACTTCCAGGGAAGTAATAATTACTGCCTTCTCGCCGCGGCGGTATTGTTTACGAGATTGAGAGGACAAAAAATAAATGTTCGACGCCTTAGCCGGGTCGGTGAACACGAAGAGTCCACCAGGCCGAGTTTGAAAACCCTCATTCCTAACCAACGGTGCATGTAAGTTCCAGGATCCTGAAGGAACAAATGGCGTGTGAACCGATCGTTGGTCACTGGCTACAATGTAACTGCATCTCCTGATGTTGCCCCATTGCCTTGTGGATTAGACCTTTAGGTCAAAGGCTCCGGGTGTGGCCCCCTCCCAAAACCACCTGCTTCCATTTGAACACCCGGGCAGTACCCAAGCCCTCACACAAATCGAATGATTTGTGTGGCGCATATCTATTTGGTACCTCCTTGTACCAATGTTTACTTGTCTAAACACGATAATGCAGAACTGATTATTGACTTTGGCTGACCCCTTTCTAAACCACAAAGAGAGGCTCGTGGTATATCGTTCACTAAATTGCCTGGTAGTATAACTGATATAGGTTTTTACATAGAAACGGTTGAATCGGAAAATGCATATTGAAGTGTCAAAACCAGACAACATATCCCTTGCTTAAGCAATCACTTCTAGTTAGGTTAGAAAGTCTGTATAGTTTGAATAAAATTACGACAGTTTGTTCAAGTGTGACTGACTGAATATATCAGTATAGTGTTATAACTTTATTCACTAAATCCATTCAAATTAAGCGATAAATGTTAACATTGTTGTGAGGCAAGGTGCCCGAGAGTTAATACTGATACATTCAATCACGAACCACTGCTTGAATGAAAAGATTGAGGAGAAAACTTTTTCACCATCTAAATCAAGTAACAACTGCATATATATATATATATATATATATATATATAGCCTATCGAGAGCTAATTTCCATTGCAAAATTGGCTATTTATTGGTCAACTAAGTATATTTCTCAGTTGGAAATTTCTGATTAGGTCACCGTATCACCCTGCTATCCTGAAAATAGACTCAACATCTTGGATTCAAATGACAGCGTTGGGACAGGGTCACATCAGATATCAGAGACATTTGAAATATGATTTTGGTTCATTTCTGTTAGTGACTTGTATGTTTGACGGATTATACTTCGTCATAATAATGTAAATAAAGCAATAACTCGGAACATAAACACTTTTTAACATTTACAATGTGTTCTCACAACATTCGACTGAATAATGACTGAAGTAATTTTATACTGAAACCATTAATCGTATATCAACTACAAGTTTATGGATCCGGTTTCAAGGCATACTTTCTTTGTAAGGGCTTGTAATAATACCCTGGTGAACAAAAAATAGTTTAAGAGACATTTGAATCTATAGTCTAGTGACTGAAAGCTGAACAACGTAGCAACTGAGCCACCGCACTATAAAAATAACTAATACTGAGATATACAGGTGTAGGGATAAAGTAAGCATATTTAATTTACCTGGCAAATCAGCCAAAACATTAATTTGAGTGGAACGGCCCATTCTGTCAACGTGATCTAATATTTCTAATTGAGGAAGACCCTGAAGTAAATCTAGACGATAATCTGGGGGAAAGAACAAAAACCCAATAACATATGCAAATTGAAAAATAAATAAATGAGTAGGTATGTTACATAATGATACATTATCTCAAATGAAATCCATCCATCTTCTAACGATATTAATTTAGCAATATTTTTTAAACGTAATCTGATTGTAAAAATGATGGATCATCCTAAGAAAGTAAATAAGCTGTTAAAATGATGTTAACTGTAGCCTTTTTACAAATAAATTCATAAATAGTTCAAGAGTCAACGAAAGATATAATACAGCTCAACCAAACTGAAAAAAAAAACAATATTAAAGTAATTACACTACATAACAGTGATCATAGACTAGTGACATAAAGAGATGTGTATGAAGTTGGCTTAGTGTTGTTACCTTATGATTATGAAACACAACTTTATGTGGAAAGGCTATTGCACAGGTTGTTAGTATCTGAGCATATATTTCTTCAAATAATTCATTGGATATGTTGAAATCATCAGTTGGGAATATCTAGAATAGAAACAGGTACTACATAGAAATGGCAAGTCGGTTAGTGACGTTGTGTAGACTTATAGGTTAAGGCCCCAGATTAAAAGAATACATATATATGCACTCTTAATTTTTTACTAAATTTTGACTTTATTTATCATGTTGTAAGTCTCAGCCACTACTCTATTCCATTGCTGTTCAGGATTGAAAAAAGCGGCAAATCAGCAAAGAAAATTTTCTTTTCAATGATTTCATTGACTTAAGCTTAATAGTTGTATTTATATTCAATTCTATTTGTGTGAAAGACAAGATTCAGCTTTGGGTCGAACTAATGTGCAGCTATCAGTTTACTTACTTGTGTAGAGCGGGTTATATTGGCCACGCAGGGCGAACTCTTTTGAAACGCATATTCGAAAATTACCAGGCATGACTCTCCAAAGGATTAAAGAAGTCAGTCAAAAGCTCAATCTTAGAGCATTTAGTCAATTCCGGCCACACAGAGTCAAAAGAGTTAGCTTAATAAGAATGAGAATGAAAAACTTATGTACAATAGAGGCTATTGCCATACACCATTTTAAGCTTAACAACAAGGGTATTTTCAGTATCTCATTCTTCCATGGCCCTAACCTCCGTTTCTATCTTCCTAAATCTATCGTCCTCAATAATTTTTATCTACCTTATTATTCCCACTCCCTCCCAATTAATTTTCATGAATATTAATGAGCAATTATTACGACTTTTAATAGTCCTGTTCTTAATAACTATCAAATGAACAATTATTCCACCTCGCAACTTTTTCACTAGCCGATTATTACGTACTTCCCTTTAAATGTCTCATTTTTAATTCTTAACAACATACCATTCCAAGCTTTTAAATTAATTCGCATCTTTCTATCTCACCATAAAACTTTATTTAGCAAATAAAACTGACTATAAATACGAGTGTTCAGGTTAAGTAAATGAAATCGTTGAAAATAAAATTTTCTTTGCTGAATTACCTTCCTTTTTCAATGACACAATGGATCCCTTTAGCTATGGCTTCAAGGTTGATTATCAAGACATTTTCAACTTTAAGAAAAACTCAAAATGTGACAAAACTATCAAATTGTTTGCGTTGGTCTACATTTCACTCAATATGCTTTTCCCCAATGACTTATATTCAACCTAAGTGAGTACTAGCGCAATTTCTCACTTGGCTAGATTGTTGCCGATTATTGAAAGACTATCCGTTTAGACGTCCTGAGATCTATAAGGCCCTCGTATTAACCGTACACGTGATTGAAAATTTAATCATGACTGAACCCTAGTTACGTTTCACGACTATGTGTCATATTTACTTCGACAAGTTTGTAAGCATTGATTACGCGCTTCGCTGTAATTTATAGTATTTTACACATTTTCTTTGACAATCGATACTACGGTGGAGAAATGGTGATTACCAATATTAATAAGCTACCATTATAAAACTTTATTTTTGAACAAAGTTAGAGTAAGCAGTTGTATATTTCCGTAATAGTTTGATATCTCAGTGTAAGTCCAAAAATATAACCAGAGTTATAAGATTGTATATAAGGTAAATAAGTATTTGATTCAAACCAGTCAAAAGTAGAATCTAACAACATATGAAATTTTGAGATTGTGAAGATTTTTAGCTCAGGCGGATAATTTGAGAGTTCTGTTCATAGTTCTTTTAAACAACATCATCAGCAACGTATTTCAGGTAGAGGTAAAGTATTCGGATTTCTCCACAAAACGAACTGTGAGCCATATGTAGAGAAATTTAAGTGATTCACTTTTGCTTGAATTTTGTGCTGATGATGTTGTTCAGAAGAACAATGAAAGTCTCATGACCGAACCATCTAGTTAAGCTCAAAAAACCAACTAAAACATAAAATGATTGTTGTCAGAGAAACATGATTATTTTATTTTGTACAAGGGCTCAAAGATAGGCATTTTTCAATTATCTTCAATTTGAAATAAAATAAGATACTAGCCAATTAAGCTGAATTTGTGAAAATGATTTTTGGCCAAGAACCTATCATTTCAAGACTTTACACGTCAACATTTTCAGAATGACGATTGGTCAGTAGCTAAAGGTTTTTTCGAGACTAAGCTAATTGTAACAAACATGTATGTATCTTTTCGTTTCAGTAGCCAGAATAATGAAAAAGTCATGACATAACCGTAATAGTCATAATAATAAGGGACGTATAGAATCTGATAGCGAAACAATGTTGTATACCTTTTACAGAATGTGTGCAATTAATGAATGCGTGTATAATCAATAAACTTACATTGTGTTGTAATCTGATGCGGTAATCTTGTTAAAAACAAGTGATAAAAGCTAAAAATACCTCCCTGATTCATGAATACTAAAGTGACAGACAGGTTATATTTCCATGTGATCATTTGGCTGTCGAAAAGTACTAACGATCAATATCTAGACAGAGGCGATGGAAACAGGCGTTGAATTTTGTATCAAATGTGAGAGTTTGCTAAAACTCCAGTCTTTGATCAGCATGCGACAAAGTTGTTTTGAACAATTAATAACATAGCAAGATGTATAGACTTTGCTTTAGCACAAACTTCATATACCTTCATTTACCATCACTACTGAATACAGTAGCAACGTAAAGAATTTATAGGTACAATTAGAACAAATATATGTGTTTACCTGGTTCGCCACAAACAGGATTACTATCTCCTGTTTGTGGATTGAGCAAAACTAATTGGCGCAAATTAACTAAATTTTTTAAGCATTCCAAGATATGCGACTTGGACTGGATTTGATTTCCTTGTAATATAATGGCAGTCAAACTATAACCGGGACCAAATAGTTTTTTCAAACCAACCAGGCTAGTTATTTCATTGAAAGAGACATCTAAACGGACTAAACAACTGAAAAAAATAAGAAAAACGAGGAGCAGAAGAGGGCTTGCAAATCGAAAAGTTTACAGTTGAGAGGATAAGATATCTAAACACGATTGAACATAGTGCCACTAATGTAGATAGTGAATAAACTTACCGCTATGCACACAAAATATAAGAGGTAAGGGCAGTACACTGATTAACTGATTGCATTGAATTACTTCAGCTAAATGTAGACTACGTGTATGATCTTGTTATTTTGTATATCGTAGAAATGAGACCACGCCAAAGTTATGTCCAGTACTAAGAGTTTAAACTCCGTGATGAAACGGCTTTGTCTTTAGCTAAATGAACCTACCATTTATGTGAACGTTTAAATAACTTCGACAAAGCATGAGTTATTCGCTTCAACATCTGAACCACCGTCTCTTTACAGTGAAACTATCGACCTATGGACTCTTGTTCACAATAAAAATTTGGCTCATATTAGTGCTGATTTCCATTTTTTTAAACATTATTTCCGATATATTTGCTAAACTTAAACAGATATCGTGTATCAAAATAGCACCACATGACTACACGACCATATATGCATTTTATACTAACACAAAACGTTGAAAAATACATTTACCAGAACTGATTTTAAATACGAAGACATAATCATTTAAACCTACTTTAAGTTCTCTAATGAATCAATGGACCGAATCTTATTGGACGACAAGTTCAAAATTCGAAGATGCTGCAAATTATCGAGTCCACATATCTTACTAATATAATTAGAAGATAAATCCAAATAACGTAACGATGTCGCTTTTGTGAGTCCATTTATCTCTGAAATGCGATTGTGATGCAAATTCAACACAGATATATTTGGAGACAAATTAAGACCGTTAATATTATCGATCCCAGAATTAATAAGTTCCAATTCAGTTTTCATACTTATATCTTGTGATAGATCTGAGGATTGTCCCGAAATGTAATCATAAAAAAACGCCGAAAGTAAAAGACATCCAAAAAGTCGCACACACCACAACTAAGTAAATAGCCTGGAAAAATATGTACAATGCTCAATATTTGACAATATAACGAACGTGTATAGATCGATTGATCTTTTCTGCACCCTTAGTAATATTGAACTTGAGTGTCATTTTTTCGGTTTTGCCTACTGCGAGCAGTCTACTTTCTCCGCTTTGTCAAGCATTTATGTCTCTCACTTCCTGTATCTTTGCGAGCTATGCTCCAAATGCTCACTTACAGATTCTTACTGCTAATACATAATGGGGTATTATCAACACATGGTTATTTCGTTGGTGTGTGAGTTCGGGTTGTTGCTCTTATGGTCAAGTGTTTGGCTAAACCTACCACACATTGCTTCCACGTTCTTATAATTATGGTCGGATTTGTTGTAATGGTCGTCTACCATCAAGGTGAAGACACAATGCATATACTTGGAAGCATTTAAATATACTAATATGTCAGTAGAAAGGCTGATATTTCCGGTTACTGATGAGTGATGAACAAAATCACGTTGGACTCACTATCAGAAACACTGATAGGAAGTCAGGTTTTCCTGCTACAATGCATGGATATGCTTAACTAAAACGAGATTATTCCTTGATACTAAACAATTTACAGAGTACCGAAATGAGAATAGAGACATACTCTGTCCATATAATTGGTAAAGTGAATTGGAAAAACCCCATACTAGCATGATATTCTAGAAGTGAATTTATGACATATAAGCACAAAATATTACATAGGAACTCCCATACAATTTCATGGTCGAATTAATAGTATATGTTATCCCGGAACATATAGCGTTTGTAACCCGACATGGTTGACAAAGACACTGTACATGTAGTCGTATTGGCTCGTAACAGACGTTCTTTGATGCAGAATATTTAATTTCCGATGAGATTGTTAGGTATGACATGGCTCAGATTTGCAAACGTGGTCATTCTGTGTAACTCCTATCATTCCACATCAAACATATTACGTCATCTTGAGTCAAAATGTGTTGTTCGGAAGTGCTAAACATCATATTGCTGATTTTCAAGATGAGACGAGTCAGTGTGGACTATGATGTGGCTTCGATGTAAGATTTTATACATCAGGTAGTTACATTATGACAAATCTACATACGTATGTCATATTTGACGCAATAAAAGTACTCAGCTGAAGCATAAAACCTTCATTCTCGCATGATTTGTGTGGAATCAAACCAAGCTGTTGTTACATTTTTAGCCTAGAATTAACATAACTCTCGCATAGTATAGGGCTCTCATATATGAACGATGGCTATCGTGTTCTTATATCAGCAGCTTAGATCCAAGTACCCGTTGAGTAGAAGGTAGTAGATCTTCTCTCTAAGCTTCTCACTAAACACACCAGCTCTCATTAGTTGGAAGGGAAATTTAAACATTTAAGTGCAGAAATAGCTGTCTGACTCATAAGCAAGCGCATCATGCGAATTCTGGCACTTCATTCCTAATTCATATCTTTCAAAAAAGATTCATTCATTCTGCTGTGCACAGAAGTGAATAAACACTGGACAATATTCATAGCAAATGAAAGTAAATTTATCATAAGCATAATGAGTTTGATTATTATCTGCAACTGGTTTGTAGATAACTTCTAGCTTATGTGGCTGTATTTTTATGAAATGTAGTAGACGAGCTTGCAGTGTCAGTTATTATGCCAAGCCCATATACCTTATTCTAGCGTTCGTACATCACATTTTATTCATTCTACTCGAGCCATACTTTGACCTTGTTATTTATTCGCTTGTTAATCTAGACTGATTTTATACGAGCGTATATGTGTGTGACCTTCTTATCCTATTAATCACATGTCTGTAGTTTAATTTTATCTGACTATAAATATTGAGTAACGCTTAATTAAAATGGAGTTGGCTTCCCAGCCATCTTCCATATGCGTCATTTGGCTTGGCTCTGTTTCATTCACTTCATATACAAAATATATGTATTCACAAATCAATTCTCGTTATTCGACTTATTTAATTCCGTTATTGGCTAACGCGATTAAGTCGACGATTATATACGAGAATAGGTGATAACAAACATTTATACGATCAAAATGGAGTCAAATCAAACGGGCCACCAAGAGCTTTACGATTCTGTGTGCTTCATGATAACCTACAAGATAAAACAGTACTTCACAGTAATTATGAACTGATAAATGCATAAATGGTTTCATTTTGATTGCATCTGTTAGGCTTGTCTTAGCATCTCTATTTTATTGGCATATGTTACACTGAACCTCTTTCAACTGGTATTAATGTTTTACATATAATGTGAAGACTGAATTTCGGCTTAGTGCTTGAGATAATTTGAAGGAAGAATCAACGCATTCAACCACTTGTGATTGAAGTTTACTCCGAAGAATGTTTTGTCCAGTTTAAATATAACTAATCCAAATCGATTATATATGATACGAGATCAAGGCATCACTTAAGTGAATAGACACTTTGAACTCAGTTACCCACCGAATTGATGAAATGTCTCGTGCGGTGCATTGGGTTTGCATGACAACTTGTCCCATGTGTGCGATATAACTCCAGAGGCTACTAAGCAACCGAACGAAGCTGAACGAATGGATATGCCACTACAGATACACGGGAATCGCCTGGCTTTTGTGTAACTATAAATATTGAATAACACTTGGTTAAATGGTGGTTGGCTTTCCCGCCATCTCAACTGCGCGTCGTTTCGCTTTGTTCTATTCCATTCGTTCTATATACAAAATATATGTATTCATGAGTCCATTCTCGTCATTTGACTTATTTAATTCCGTTATTGACTAACGCGATTTAAGTCGATGATTATATACGAGGATAGGCGGCATATATATTCTAATAACAAACATTCATATGATTTAATTGGAGTCAGATCCACGGGCCACTAAAATGGTAGTGTAATAAATGCGCTTGCAAATGTCTGAAACAGCACATATGTAAGTATTTCATGATCTCGTAACTATAGTGAGCTATCGCGTGCTGAAAATGTCTTCGCTGTACGTGATTCGCATTTGTTGAAGCAGTCTTGTCTTACGCAAATAGTCGTGGAGATTAGCAGTCTTCCTCACTTGGTTGTCCAACATACCTTCGCGTATTTTCATGTCTCTAGAAGAGGCTCTACAGGCATACTGACGACTTAATCTTCTGTTTTGTCTGTTTCATTGAAATCATGAACCGATCTATGTTAGGTCATCTTTGAAAACTCCGAAACATTGTAAGGACGTTCCGTAAAACTAAACTCAATTAAAGGTCTCCTAAACTGTGAGAATCCACGACTAAGTGGCCTGTCTGATTTGGGCTCAAGCAACTTACCAGAGCTATCGCCTGTTTAGTGTTACTCAGTACTGATTCAGTCGGAGCATCTTTCTGATCTCTGCGACTTTGTACGTAATGAAGTTGTTTGTAAAAAGGCACATTAATAATCGCCAGGGCATCAATGTCAGGAGTTTAACTCTGATTTTTCTTAAAAATAAACCCTCAATGAATTATATTTCCATTTTAGAATCCTACATACACAGGCGCTCCACGTTGAACTGTACATTTACTGGGATATTTTTAAGGAAACACCGAGTAAATTCTCCTACCCTTCTGTCACGATTGTTCCTCAATTTAATGAAAACATTATGGTCATAGCCATTCATGGAATCGACAACCAGTTATCGGTCTTCCGACTTGGTTTAAGTTATATCAACCAATGGGTACTACAAAAAAATTTCATCCATTCAATCGTCGTTGTTTCTGACTTGACTGTCTTTGAGTTATCAGATTCGAAGATATTTATTTTTGTCCAATTTTTGCGGATCATAAGGGTCTTCGGTCACATAATGAATCTCTGACAGATAATATGCAACCTTGTCCTTACATTTTACTTGTTAAAGTATTCCAAAAGCGGGTGGGGGAGATTGATGATGTCACAAGTATTCAGTGTTTGACAACGCTTCTACCAGTAACACCTTCTTATGTATTTCGTTCCCACCAAGAGAAATCAAAAGACAGAGTCGAGAAGATCGGAAGAGTATATTTGGCGATTACCAATATATCGGGATTTTCTGATCTAATCTGGCTAGCGATTGCGGTTGATGTTGAGCACGGCGTTACTACACGTGATCTGGTGCGGATGCCTGACCGAGCGCCTTCAGCTAGATGAGTCCACTAAAACATATGGTCAGCATCCAATGTCGAAAACTTACAGAGCTATTTATTTTAGGGATTTATTTACCGCTACAAGATATTCCACACTTACTGAAGAATTAAACGTTTCTATTCTGAAAGGTGGAGGATGTCTGAAAGCAAAAATGTGCCAAAAATACGGCTTGATCTCTGGATATACGGGGAACTTCCCGCGTTTACTCTCACATCTTCACAATAATTTTTATTGCCATTATCGCCATCGTTAATTTCAATCTATTATTCTATTGCCATTTTAATCACATCTTTTATTTCCTATCTGCTCTCTTTATTTTTCAAACTTTTTACTCGAATTCCGTTGCTACAAAATAAATGAATGATGAGTGACGTCGTATTGACAAGTTTCAATGCAGTAATTGTTTCGACTCAACTTACATAAAATTATATCAACTTAAAATTATTCCGATCTATCTAATAACGGCTGCTGCGGTGCAGCGAAAATAATATCAGAGGATGCTTACATCTTTATGAAAGCTCTTCTGACGTCAAGAAGAGTATATAAGTTGATGATCAGCTCATTACTATGTTGTTTTGTTTTAATACTCAAAAATATTAGTATTTCGAAGGTCTGAAATGAGCACATTTTCAGATTTTTTGTTCGATATGACATATGTAGCACTTGATGGGTAATTGTGCAGGAAAGCACGTCTCTCCTCCTCCTACAGAACAAAGTAGCGATGTTCATGCGTTGCATAATTCGTGTGATCCTTCCAAATATGTCGTGAGAACAAGTTCTCAACCTACGGACTTGTGTGATAGTTACAAATCTAATTCATTAAAAGTAATTCACGAAGACGGACTAATAAATAAACTCGTAATAACAAAAGAGCATGAAAAAGTTTCATCCTGCGTAACTCGCGAGAGATTTTACACTGGGAGAGATTTGTCTTTTGGGAGCAAGTCCAATCTATCAACTCCGAAAACTTCTCTTGTCAATGTTTTCGCTGGAAGCCATTGCACTGAAGGTCCTCAGGAAACAGTACTTTCCAGTAGCTTTCACTTTCCGAGGTTGGCTTTAGAGCAGATGACGAGAGATATGAGGGTTCATCATTCTGGCGTACGAAACAGTGCAAATTTCGATTACTTAGATAATAAGCATTCTATTAGTCCAGTTCACTGGTGCGTTTCTTCAAGTAAGCCATCAGACGAGAATGATATGCAGAAAAGAAATTCTCCACATCGGAGTAATATTCATGTACAATCACATTCGCATTTACAACAACATTCCTCGTTGAATATTATGCCTTTCTTGGTTGGCAACAGGTATTCCCGAAGTGGCTGTGCAAGTGTAACTCGAAGCGCGATGGAATCCCCACTCACAATCGATTCAGGGACTCACAAATCGGACAAACCTTATAGATCATCTGTTGTTGTTGACTCCAATCGTCTGAAAAATCTTGAGCAAAATAGCGGAACAGTTAGCACTGCTGCAACAATTTTTATGGAAAATGGTAGTTCGGATCATCATTCTTCCGTCGGTGGTCTTTCAACTCGTTATCTTGTTCATCAGCCTTATTTTCCTTCAAGTGCTGGCTCATCCAGTCGTCTTAGTTTGGGTTCGGTTGGTCCATGTATAAATTCGAAGAAGTTCTACCCTCTTACACAAGAAAACTCCCACAACAGTGAATATTATCACGTTGCCATTTTCGACTATGAAGCTCATACATCAGAGGAAGTTAGCGCACGAAAAGGTGATCAACTTCGAGTTTTGGATTTAAGGTACAAGATTATTACCATGTTTTATGTGTTATATATTTAGATTTAAACCTTTTGTTTATTTTCATAATAAGACTGTGCTGAATTCCGTTTAAATCACCAATCGGTAACTCAAATGTTGTTGAATAGCTTTCATGAAAAATATAAATCAATTGGTGCAATTGTTGTTTAGATACAAATTGAGATCGATACGCAAATATCAAGCATCATATCCTGATTTCTCATGTTGTTATAGTGTATAGTAGCTCTAAAATATAATGAAATCCAGTCAAGGCTAAACGACATATTATTTCTTTCCGAAAATGCTATAGGTTATTCGTGAAGGGTTAATTATTTTTGTTAAGACAGTTTACACTGGATGATAAATATAATTTGGCCTTTGTAAGTATGCTCGTTCGACCTATCATTTTGAAATTTAGAACCAGAAGGTATGGTTGGGGTGTCAAATTTAACCTTAAATAACTGAATCTTCATAACTTTGAACATGTTTCGATTCATGAGCTGGTTTTCTTATTCATATAGCCTTTCTTTTCAATTTTTATTTATGGTCGTACTATTTTGACATTTAAGTATGTTTATCTCTGAGTGTATTTTAAAATATTTCTTTCAGTTTGGTGGTAGTCAAAATTTAATTCACTCATTGTTTTTTTATATTGATCTGGTACTCATACCTGATAAATGATAAAATTATTCTCTACCTCTACATTCGCTTTATGCTAACGTTTCTGTTTGTCAGACTGTGGTCACATATGTTCCATAAATTATACATTTGGATGATTTAAGTCGTATCAATTTGATAATTTACAAATGGAAACTTACTTTTGTATGAGAAACAGTATACCTAAACTATTCAAAATATGTGTGGAACAATGGTCAATTTTCAATTGCTTTCAGACAAATAAGTCTTATGTAATACATTTTGATCAAGTTCTCGATTGCATCAAAGTGAAAGCTTTGGATACAGTAATCTTTTGATAACTTCAGGATTCTGTTTGCATTACGCCGGAATAAATCCGAAATCACACCTTAGCATTCAAATTATGATCTTTTTTAAAGTGACCTGTTTTGTTTTCCCAAAAATGCGTTTATGATTTTAAAAGGCCTCTGTAATCTAGGTCAGTCAGTCAGTCAGCTACAACGTAGGACCAGGCACATGTATGCATCGGCCCAGGTTGCCATACCTCATTAGCACAGCAAGATGAACACCGGATTCATAGGAGTGGTTAGGTCAAAGGTGGTAATATATAGGAGAAAGATTGCAATAAGGATATAGTATAGGAAGAAAGAATTAGTTCGTAGAAAGAAAGATGTGAAGTGATCTTAATCTCTTAGTTTAAGAGAAGACAGAGAGTGTATACACCGACGCCATTGTGATCGATTCTGAGCCATGTCACCAAGGGTCTCCAACCATTGGTTACGAAAGTCACGCGGACCCCAACCAAGTAGTCTGCATCTACCAACATGGCTCAGACTAGAAGTTAGTGACTTCAGGCACTGATGCCACGTTTTGGTTTGGCCGCCCCTAACTTTCTTCCAACCATCCCCTACACCGGTTAGCATTGCACGTCGCGGTAATCGGTGTTCAGGCATACGTAATACGTGGCCCAACCATCTCAGTCGATGAAGATTCATAACCTCATCAACTGATTTACCATCATTCCCTAATACCCTGCGTCTAACCTCACTATTACTTACCCGGTGATCCCAGCAGATGCCAGCAATATTTCTAAGGCATCTGTGGTCAAATACTAGTAGCTTACGGGTGTCTTCTACTCTTAAGGGCCATGTTTCGCTGCCGTAAATTAAAACAGAACGGACAGCCGCGCAGTATACTCGTCCTTTTATTGATAGACGGATATCTCGCCTCCGCCAAAGGTGACGTAAGTTGGCAAAAGCCAAACGAGCTTTACGAATCCGTGCTGAGATTTCGTCAGACACCAACCCATTAGGGCTGATCAGACTTCCAAGATAAGTGAAGTTGTCAACTCGTTCGACTACTTCACTCCCTATCCTTAGTTCAGGTGTTGACGCAGACCAGTCCTGAAGCAACAACTTGCATTTAGAGGGAGAGAAGCGCATCCCAAACATTCTGGCATTGTTGCTTAGTGCTACCAGAAGACTCTGCATTTTGTCAGCGTCTTCACCAAACAGGACTATGTCATCTGCATATTCTAAGTCGATAAGTGGACCTCCTGGAAGGAGATCAATACCCGAGAATTCAGTCGACGAGAGTGTTATTTCCATCAATAGGTCTATGATGAAGTTAAACAAAAATGGAGAAAGTGGGCAGCCTTGACGGACACCACTTGAGGTTGCAAAAGTAGATGACAGTTCGCCATAAGCCCTGACTCGACTAGTAGTGTTCGAGTAAAGAGCCTTCACAAGGTTTATGTACTTCTGAGGTACGCCTTTCAATGACAGACACTGCCACAGAGTCTCGCGGTCTACAGAGTCAAATGCTGCTTTTAAGTCAAGAAAGACCACCATCGTCGGACGCCGATAAGTATGCCTGTGTTCTAGAACCTGACGAATGGTGAATATGTGGTCGATGCAGCCACGACCAGGTCTAAAGCCAGCTTGGTTCTCTCGTGTTTGTAGTTCACGAGTCTTAGTTAGGCGTTTGATAATTATCGAGGCCAGTATTTTAGATACTATGTTTGTTAAACTAATCCCTCTGTGGTTGTCACAGGATGATTTTGACCCTTTCTTATATATTGGGACGATAAGTGATTGCGACCAGTCAGATGGGATAACGTCTAACTCCCAGATTTAGCTAAAATATTAGTCAACCTAGTCGCTAAAATTGGACCACCATCCTTAAAGACTTCTGGAGCCAGTCCATCTGGACCAGCTGCCCTTCCTCGTTTCAGATTAACTATAGCCTTCTCAACTTCAGCAAGAGTTGGGGGACCTACTTCAATGTTCCATTCACTTTGTCTGGGAATGGAGGGTAGTTGTAGAGTAGCTGAAGGCCAGCTGAACTGTTCTCTAAAATGTTCCGCCCATCGTTCTAAACGTCTGGACTGGGAGCAGATGAGAGTATCATCTTTTTCCGAAATAATCTCACTTACACTTGACTTATTAATTCCAGTTTCTTTTATTAGTCTGTAAAGCTGTCTTGTGTTCCCTATAGTCGCCGCCTTTTCCATCTCTTTTGCTTTCGTTACCCACCACTGCTCACGGTCGTTCCTTAGACTTTTTCTTAACCTAGATCTGATTTGTTTACGCTCTTCATCATGTTCAGAACCTGATGGGACGAGTTTGCGAGAATCCATCAGTGTGACAGACCTTGAAGAAATCCACTGGTTCCTTGTAACTCTGTGGTTTAAGTCACTAATAGATGTCACTGCTGTTTCCACAGCTGCTTGTATGTCCTTCCAAGCAACATCTGGGTCAGCCTCGTCTTCACAACTACCTAAGTGTGACCTCAGTTGTTCCTGGAACCTACTTTTGGTTTTCTCGTTACTCAACTCAGTTCTAATGGGTCTTTTTAATGTGGCTTTTTTGCGTCCAGTGAGGCGCAAGCAGATGCGTGCCCGTATTAGGGCATGGTCGGAGTCCAAGCAGGTACTCCAGAATGAGCGACAATCTTCTACCGACCCTCTCCAACGATGACTGATGGCAATATGGTCTATTTGAGTCCATCGTTGGTTTGGTGTAGGGGGTCGCCATGTTAGACGATGTCTCTCCTTATGCTTAAAATTTGTGTTTGCTAAAAATAAACGATTGTCTGAGCATAGCTGCAGCAGACGATCACCATTATCTGTTCGCTGTGTCGGAATACTAAAATATCCACCTAAATGCCTTTCTGTTTGGTTTAAACTGCCTATCTGAGCATTAAAATCACCTGCTACGAGTACTATGTCTGAGCGTTTAGCTTTCTGAAGAAGTTCGGATAGCTTTCTGTAAAATTCATCTTTCACTTCATCTGAGCTGCAGTCAGTGGGAGCGTAGGCAGAAACGACAAAAAGGCAACGACGTGTGTCCCTATCCTTCCGAGTTCTTACGTAGCCGTTCAGCCGAACAGCACATAGACGACTGTTGACGGGGATCCACTCTAGCAGTGCTTGTTCGGCCCTCATGCTTAGTGCTATGCCTACACCTGCCAGTCCACGAGAACTTGCCATCGGGTCACCAGACACACGAAGGGTGTATCTCGTTGGCTCTCCGTCTTGCCGAGGTGAGGTCAAGTGAATGACCACACTGGAATCCTGTATGCGTGTTTCGGAGACACAGCATACATCAATGGAAAGAGACTCTAGGGTTTTAGCCAAGGAAGCCTGCTGACCGATTTGACATAGGGTGCGTACGTTGAAGGCTCCAATGTGTAGTTTGGAGCGAGGTTTCAGTAGACCTGGGACAGTGTTTTGCGCACTAGAATCGTTGGCTACGGTGACACTTGAGGTGGAAGCCGAGAGAGGAAATATAGAGTTGAAAGTCGATGTAGGAGGAATAATAGGAATTGAAGAGGAGGTTGATTATGAATACAGTGGTCTTGAGTGCTGTTAGAAGTATGAGGGCGGTTATCACTTCCCGGTTGCCCACACCGTGGAAGGGTTGTTCTGGAGGTACCTGAAAAGGAAATTGGATTAAAGGTGGTCTTAGTGACCTGAGAGCGTGACCGCAGTGCCCAAGGGACAACTGCTTGAGGTCGGTCACACACGACCTTGTTATGGGTAATTTTTGTGTTAGCTCCGTACTTATTGAGACCTTACCGCCGGAGACGGATATCCGTGGGATAAGGCGAGGTGTGCATTTTTAGGGTCGACCTTTTCTAACCCCACCCCTCCTTGTGGGAAGGCAGCATCGCTGTCATGCTGGTTGTCTGAAGGAAACACCTTACTGCTGTCACACCTCTGTACAGTCAGCAGTACGACTTCGCCTTCGGACCTTGGGTTTGTTGCTTTTAGTCTTACCGCTCTTCAACCGACCTGTCTGACATGGTAGGACCTTGAGGAACGGTTGTTCCAGCCAGTATAGCTCGGTTGCTTCATCACGATAGG